TCCAACACAGATCATCTTCAAGGCATTTTATTGCTGGATTCAGCATTCTTGGTTGATCTCTTCTGGGTCCAGATTATCATTTTAATAATATTCCCTGATGTGTGGCTTCCAGTGTTTCTGAGGTGAACCCATTAGCAATTTGTATCCCTCTACTTCTAGGAAGACACAGCCCTTTTTCTTCCAGTTTCTCCTGAGATGTTTCTTCGTATTATGCCTTTGCCTTGTTACCTTCGAACTGTGGGTACAGAAGTACAGCACACAGGATTTTTGGGTTTTTTTTTCTTCCGATTTCCCTAATTGTTCCATAGAGTTTCATGAAACTGTGATATTTTCAATGTTCCTCATAACTGAACAGTTATCAACCATTCTTGATTCCGGTACTTGCTTCTACTCCAAACTCCCTTGCTCTTTTCTGTGACTTCCTTCCCACATGCAGAAAATCTTTTCATATTTTCCTACATGTCTGTGAGGCTTTGTTGATTTCGTATTTCACTATTTCTTCAGGGTTGTCCTTGTGTGTGAGAGAACTTGTGAGTTTTTGCATGTGTCCGTGTACGGGTGTGTTTTGAATTTGGGTTTGTGTGTGTAGCTAGTTCTGCAGGTTCTGTAGATTTCTTTTTTGGTTAATTTTTTCTTCAGAAATATCTAACTTGAGCAAGAGGCCATGCAGTAACTTTTTCATCTAAGACATACATTTTTAATACTAGTCCTTTAATTTGATTTCGCTATTCTATACTGTTAATTTCTCTTGATATGATATCTGGTTTGTTGCATATTCTTTTTTTAAACATTTGAAATCCGTTATCATACCGATATGTCAAATTTTCATGCAATTCTAATCATTTCTGTCATTTCTGAGCTTGCTTGTACTTCCTGATTTATTTGCTGGTCATGGATGACACGAAACGCTTTTCTACATGTAGTCAAATTTTAAATTTAGGACTCACTCTGCGGATACCTCATACCTGAGCCAATTGACGTTGTTGTTTACTTGTAAAAGAGTTGAGATTTCCTCTCACAAGCAGTTCATTGACTTGGAAACCAATTTGATGCTTGGACACTGGCTGTTCAGCTATGCAAGCGGTGGTCTGCAGCTGCCTGATTTCTAGGAATATACTAATTCCACTTTTAAATCAAGGCTGTTCTGGCATCTCCACTGAACTGGCAACGTGTTCTGTGAGGAATCTCTAGTCTAGCTGGTAAGAACTCCGATCTCCCAGAGTGCTATGTGAGCTCCGTCTTCCTTATAGAGCTTGCTGTTCTCTTGCAATTGCTGTTTCTCAGTAAATGTTCCTTGCCATACTTTCTTGTGGAACCATTTTCTGTGCAAATGCAGCGTCATGTCAGGCCAACAAATGGAGGAGACTTCTATGTGTATTTGCAGAGCTCCTTTCCTCCACAAACCAGGTCTTATTGGTAGCAGACCTAGAAAATGTTAGCTACCACAGTCATCCCAAACTCCAATCCCTCTCCTCCCTTCAGCAAGATGGCTAGAGTCTCCTTGGGCTCCATCACCTTGCTAGTCAGTGCAGCAAGGGTATCCAGGAAGAAAACCAAGGCATCTTTGCAGTTGAGCTCATCATTGCCCCTCTCTTAATTCTCTAGGTCCTCTAACATCTCTTGTCCCACATGGAGAAACCATTTTTCCCTGTCTTTGGCAGTCACTTGTGGCCAAAAAATTGGCTATGGGCTGCTCAGACCCACGCTTCTGTCCATCTACCTGTCCCTTTTATTTTTCAGCATCCGTCTCTTTCCTCACTCTCATCTGCCTTCCTGCCTTGGCTCTTCTCTTGCCACCAACCTGTATCCCTTCAGGCCACTGGCACTTAGGGCCGAGTGATTCCCTCCCCGTTGGAATACACATAGATATAGAAAGAGATACATTTGCCTGTCCATACATAAGCACATATTCTTTCCTCATTGGCCCAGACAGAAAAGGCAAACAACCTTCCCTTCAGGAATGGGAAGTCAGAATAACAGAATTCCAATTGAAAAGTCTTCACTGACCCTTAGTGGGTGTTGTGGAAGGATAATCTAAGTGTTTGGTCCTTTGCCATTCTGACTTTCTTCATAATGTAATGTCCTCGCCTCCAGATGTCCCTTCTGATCCATAAAACTAGGAGGAAGGAGAGGCAGCTTAACAGTTCTCTTCTCTCAGACCCTTAGCTCCAAGGCAATCATCCTGAGACATTTTGCTGCATCATCTGTGTCTGACACAAGTTGAGTTCAGATAACTCAGCTGGAAGCACGTCTCTTCTAAGAGAAACTTCAATTGTCCCTTTCTTCTCTTACGGTAAAGAACAAAGACATACCCATTTGGGTAGTTTTCTGGGGTCCGACTATGAGAGTGCGGTGTCATAGATGACCAAGCTTGGCAGGTTCTTCCTGTCACAGTGGTGAAGTATGTGCCTCGATAACTCTGTCCATTACCGTGGTAGCACTCCTGCACCCCAGGCCTTTGCTTGGTCGGTGCTGAAAGGAAAACAGAAGAAATCAAGCTGAGTGTCTCTGAGAACAGAAAAACAGGTGAAGCCACTGATGACACAACCAGGAAGAAGTCTAAGAGATTACGACCGTACTCCTTTCCTTATCCGCAGGCTGATGGATGTGAGAAAACCAACCAACAAACCAACACCAAAGCAACAGATTCCTACCATACTAGAACCGTAGTCAGTTCCTGGAAATATTTCGCCTGAAACCTTAGAGATACAGAACAGATCAGACTGCTCTCCTCATTGGAAAGTGCGCTCACGAGCCAGCACCTTTCTGGGAAACTCTACTGAATGTTCATGAGGAAGATGGGGCAGGATCGAGCAAAGGGCACTGCATTTGGCAATGAGGGCTGCAGGTGGTATTTGGCTGTTGGGGCAGAGGTGGGGACATCCATGGAAATTTTGCATGTTTCCCTAGACCACTGATCATGAAAGCCAAGGTCTTTGGCTTCCGGGTTGGCTCGGGCCATGGGGCAGCGGTCCTCTATATCTGACTGAAGGCAAAGACACGTTGCTTCTCGGGGATGTGTGCAAAGCTTCCTCGGGAGAAGAGAGAGTCTTGTGCCCCATATCTGAATTGCAATAAACGATAAATCCTACTGCAACTCTTTCTCTCCAGACCCCTCCCAGGTACGGAGTGCCATCAGAAAGAGAGGTTTGAATGCGAGGAGAAATCATTCCCTTCAAGCCTAGGGCTGCAGAGAGCCTTAGAGCATTGGGAAGTTCATGTACTGCTCCATTGACGCAGCGCAATGGAACTTAAAGAGGCAGACCTGCTGGGTTTCTCAAGGAAACTGGAAACTCAATCCCTGCTTCTCAAGAATCTACAGTACAGAGATTTTTGAATGCTGAAGAACTCCTGGAAAGCCCTGGGCACACCCTGGAGGTTGTGCCCACCATCCTAAAGACACAACCCACCCACATTGTACCAGAAATCACTCAGCTGTCTCCCCAGGCTGCAGGCTTCTGTGGCAGGTGCTCCAGCATCCAGCGGACCATTGAAAGCTGCTGCCTGATCCAGGAATTTCAGCGCTTTCATCCCAGCATCTGGCGTGTAGATGTCTGTACTGAAGCCTCCTTACCTTGTTCAGAGGGAGCCTCTGAAGCTAGAACCAGGGTGACATTCAAGGTACAACGGCAGTCCTTCTGCGTCACTGAGCATTGTGTCAGGTTGCAGTACTCCCACCTGACACTGGGATCCATGGTATAGCAATGAGGGCTGCCACAGGATCTGGATTCCTGCAATGTAGTTCTGATCAAGCCCACTAAATTCAAAAGTAATTTGCATGTCTCACAGAGGTGGGACACTATGCAGGGGCATAGCACCCCCTCCTTTGTGCGGCAACAAAGGTCATTACGGTGCCTTTCTAATATACCATTTCCCAAAGTACCATATGATTGCCCCAAGCTTTAAATGTGGTTCTCAATCCCCCCCAATCCTCTCTGCACATTTCTCATACTTAAGAGATTATTAGGATTTTTTTTTTTTTTCTAAAGTAGCAAGCGCTCTTAGAAACACGGAGGTAATGCATACATGTGAGTAGAGAGAAAATCCTCTCCTGCTCCGCATCCTGAATTGCAATAAACGAGAAGTCTACTACTCTTTTTCTCCAGACCCCTCCCAGGTACAGGTGCCATCAGAAAGAGCTTTAAGAACACGGAGAAATCACTCCCTTCAAAGCCTAGGGCTGCAGAGCCTTAGAACATTGGGAGCACATGTACTGCTCCACAGACCCAGGGCAATATGGAATTAAGGAAGCGCTGTTAGGTTTCTCGAGGGTCACAGGCTCCAGAGTCATATTTCTCGGAATCTGCAATGCTGAAGATTGCACCGAATGCTGTCTACTTGAAGAAATCCCTAGAAAAGCTTCCTGGGCACACCCTGGGCACACCCTGGAGGGTTTGGGCCCATCCTAAAGACACAGTCCACCCACGTTGTACCAGAAATCACTCCGCTGGCTCCCCCAGAGAGTGCACGGAGGCTTCCTCCCACATGACAGAACTCGGTGAACACTCCAGCATCCGTGGAACATTGAAAGCTGTTGCATCAGTCGGAATTTCCATGGCTTTTCATCCCAGTGTCTAAGCGTGTAGATGTCTGGCCACAGGCTCCTTACCTTGCTCAGAAGGAGCCTCTAGGCTTGGAACCGGGGTGACAGTCGGAGATGTGACAGCAGTCCCTTCTGCGTCTGAGCATTGTGTCAAGTTGCAGTACTCCCACCTGACATTGGGATCCATCGTATAACAATAAGGGGCTGCCACAGGATCGGGATTCCTGCAGTAGTTCCTGATCAAGTCACTGAAAATTCCAAAACGATACATGTCACAAGAGGTGGGACAACATGCAGGGGCACCCCACACTCTCTCCTTTGTGTAGGAACAAGGTCATTCCTTGTGCCTTTCTAATATACCCATTAAAAGTACCAAATGATTGTCACAAGTACAAATGGCTCTCAATCTCTTGTTCTCTCTGCACATTTCTCATACTTAGTAGATTATTACGATTCTTTTAAATCTAGCCTTGCAAACGCTTCTTAGAGACACTGAGATAATACACACATGTGGCCAAAAAGTGATCAGACTATTCTCCTTCTGCCTTCTGCCCAATCCATCTCTCTGGAATAACTGGTATGGATTTGACGTCTGTATTGTGCCATTGTTTATTCACCTACAAGAGTATCTATATCTGTCTAGTTCTCAGTATCTCTCTTGGTAGAGCTTCACATTCTAATGTGGGAATTGCAGCCAACACGTAGTTCTTCAGAGAAAACATGGCATCCAGAAGGATAGCCTTTCCAGGTCAACCTTCACACACTATGTACCCAAAACGTACTGAAAAGGTTCTATGTTTCACATGGAAATGCACTGTGCGAATACCATTACTGTCTGTCATTCCCATACCACGTGGGTCAAGTAGGTTTATCTTTGCACAACTTCTCAAAGCTGCCCTGGAAAACTTGCCCCCAGGCAGGATGCAGTATCTCTAGAATGGGTTCCTGGGCAGGACCTTCTCTCTTGCTCTCAATCTATCCTCTGCTGGCCACAGCCACTCTGGGACTGAGGGAAAGGGGATGAGTTGAAAGAACAGTGGGACCCATGGCATAAAGGAATATGGCAGGGTGGACTGAGAGAGCTGAAGAGGTTGGACAGCTATGGAGGAGCAGAAAACAATGAAGAAGGGGGCAAAGCAGGGGAGGAGTTTGGGCTGTGGGGATCTTGAAGCATTCGTGCTTCCCTATGCCTCCCAAGAAGGTTGCTCCAACCTCTCAGCATCCTCAAAATAATGACCTGCGGCTGCCTGAGAAAATGGGAAATGTATTATGGGCCATGGGGATCCAACACTCTCTCTCTAGAGACTCTACAGTTGTGACCTAGTCTCAACCCCAGACCCTCCATTCCAGGAAGCTGGTTCAATCAGCAACTGGACGTTTAAGAGCCCGAACTCTTGAAAGAATTCCTTTCCTTCCTTGGCGTCCCTCTTTGGAATGCATGGAATATTCTTATACCATAAACCTCAAAGTTCAAAACTGTGTGATTGTTCTAGGATTCGCAATATCCCTTTGAACCCACACAGTAACCTTTTATTAATATTACATACCATCGTGCATGGAGTAAGAAACTTATAATGGTCCACTTCCAATTATTGCCTGCATGATTTGTGCTGCATGTTCAAATTCTTACCTCTACATATGCTAAAGTTAAACATATTGTTATCATTCTGCTTCAAGTAGTCTACTCTCATTTAAAAAGATATAGAAATTTGATCAAGAAAATATTTTGCATTTACATCTATCTGCATTTGCCAGTTGCTGGTATCTACATTACATGGGCTGCAGAAAGTTCCCTTCTTCTTCTATTCTTCTCTACCTAATACCTTTGGGTCACCACCCTTGTCACATAAGCCTGCTGATTCCAAAGTCTGGCAGTTTCCGCTTTCTTTGTTTGGGGCAGTGCACAATATGCATTTATCCAACACAGATCATCTTCAAGGCATTTTATTGCTGAATTCAGCATTCTTGGTTGATCTCTTCTGGTTCCAGATTATCATTTTAATAATATTCCCTGGAACGCGGCTTCCAGTGTTTCTGAGGTGAAGGCATTAGCAATTTGTATCCCTCTACTTCTAGGAAGACACAGCCCTTTTTCTTCCAATTTCTCCTGACATGTTTCTTCGTATTATAACTTTGCCTGGTTACCTTCGAACTCTGATATACAAAAGTAGAGTACACAGGTTTTTGTGTTTTTTTTTTCTCCAGAAATTCCCTATTTGATCCCTAGATTTCATGAAACTGTGATTTTTTTCAATGTTCTTCATAATTGAAAAGTTATCAACCATCCTTGTTTCCAGTACTTGCTTCCACTCCAAACTCCCTTGGTCTTTTCTGTGACTTGCTTCCCACATTCAAGAAATCTTTTCAAATTTTCCTACATGTCTGTGAGGCTTGGTTGATTTTATATTTCACTATTTCTTCAGGGGTGTTCTTGTGTGTGTGAGAGAACTTGTGAGTTTTTGCGTGCGTGCGTGTATGGGTGTGTTTTGAATTTGGGTGTGTGTGTGTGTAACTAGTTCTGCAGGTTCTCTAGAATTGTTTTTTGGTTAACTTCTTCTTCTGAAATGTCTAACTTGAGCAGGCGGCCATACAGTAATTTTTTCATTTAAGACATACTGTTTTTATATCAGTTTTTAATTTGATTTCGCTATTCTGTACTGTTAATTTCTCTTGTATCTGGTTTGTTACATATTCATTTTTTAAATATTAGAAATCCGTTATCATACTGATATGTCAAATTTTCATGCAATTCTAACCATTTCTGTCATTTCTGAGCTTGTTTGTATTGCCTGATTTATTTCCTGGTCATGGATCACATGAAATGCTTTTCTACATGTAGTCAAATTATAAATTTGGGACTCATTCTGGGGATACCGTGCAGCTGAGCCAATAGACTTCGTTGTTTACCTCGAAAGAGAGTTAAGATTTCCTCTCACAGGCATCCATTGACTTGGAAACCGATTTGATGCTTGGACACCGGCTTTTCAGCTATGCAAGCGGCTGTCTGCAGCTGCCTGATATCTAGGAACATGTTAATTCCACTTTTAAATCAAGGCTATTCTGGGGTCTCCACGGAATTCACAACTTGTTCTGTGAGGACTCTCTCATCTAGCTGGTAAGAACTCCAATCTCCCAGAGCGCTATGTGATCTCTGTCTTCCTTATGGAGCTTGCTGTTCTCTTGTATTTGCTGTTTCTCAGTAAATGTTCTTTGCCATACTTTCTTGTGGAACAATTTTCTGTGCACATGCACCGTCATGTCAGGCCAACAACTGGAGGAGACTTCTATGTGTATTTGCAGAGCTCCTTTCCTCCACAAACTAGGTCTTATTTGTAGCAGATCTAGAAAATATTAGCTACCAGAGTCATCCCAAACTCCATCCCTCTCATCCTTCAGCAAGATGGCTACAGTCTGCTTGGATTCATCTCCTTACTAGTTAGTGAAGGAAGGGTACCCAGGAAGAAAGCCAAGGCATCTATGGAGTTGAACTCATCATTGCCCCTCTCTTAATTCTCTAGGTCCTCTACCATCTCTTGTCCCACATAGAGAAACCATTTTTTCATGTCTTTGGTAGTCACTTGTGGCCAAAAAATTGACCACAGGATGCTCAGACCCGGGATTCTCTCCATCTACCCGTCCATTTTGCTTTTCAGCATCGGTCTCCTTGCTGACTCCCATCTGCCTTCCTCCCTTGGCTCTTCTCTTGCCACCAACCTTTATCCCTTCGTCCACTGGTACTTAGGGCTGAGTGTTTCCCTCCCCATTGGAATACATGTAGATATAGAAAGGGATACATTTGCCTGTCCATACATAAACACATATTCTTTCCTCATTGGCCCAGACAGAAAAGGAAAACACACCCTTCCCTTCAGGAATTAGAAGTCAGAATAACAGAATTCCAATTGGAAAGTCTTCATTGACCCTTAGTGGGTGTTGTGGAAGGGGAATCTAAGTGTTTGGTCATTTGCCATTCTGACTTTCTTCATAATGTCATCTCTTCGCTCTAGATTTCCCTTCTGCTCCATAAAACTAGGAGGAAGGACAGGCACCTTAAGAGTTCTCTTCTCTCAGACTCTTAGCTCCAAGGCAATCATCCTGAGACATTTTGCTACACCCTCTGAGTCTGACACAAGTTGAGTTCGGAGAACGCAGATTGAAGCACGTCTCTGCTAACAGAAACTTCAGTTGACCCTTTGTTCTCTTACGGTAAAGAATATAAACATACCCATTTGGGTAGTTTTCTGGGGTCCGACTATGAGAGTGTGGTGTCATAGATGACCAAGCTTGGCAGGTTCTTCCTGTCACAGTGGTGAAGTATGTGCCTCGATAACTCTGTCCATTACCGTGGTAGCACTCCTGCACCCCAGGCCTTTGCTCAGTCGGTGCTGAAAGGAAAACAGAAGAAATCAAGAAGTCTCATAGAAGTCTCCTCCAGTTGTTGGCCAGACATGACGGTGCATGTGCACATGTATCTCTGAGAACAGAGATACATGTGAAGCCACTGATGACATGACCAGAAAGGAGTCTATGAGAATTACGACCGTACTCTTTTCCTTATCCGTAGGCAGATGGATGTGAGAAAACCAACCAACAAACCAACCTCAAAGCAACAGACTCCGACCATTCCAGAACCGTAGTAAGTGCTTGGAAATATTTCACCTGAAACCTTAGAGAAACAGAACAGATCAGAATGCTTCTCATTGCAAGTGCGCTCACGAGCAAGCACCTTTCTCGGAAACTCGATTGAATGTTCATGAGGAAGATGGGGCAGGATCGAGCAAAGGGCACTGCATTTGGCAATGAGGGTTGCAGGTGGTAATCGGCTGTCGGGGGCAGAGATGGGGACAGACACGGAAATCTTACATGTTTCCCGAGACCGTTCATCCTGAAAGCCAAGGTCTTTGGCTTCCGGGCCATGGGCCAGAAAACGGTCCTCTACATCTGACTGAAGGCAAGGACACTTTGCTTCTCAGGGATGTGCGCAGGCCAAAAGCTTATTCCTTTGTAGAGAGTAGAGAGAAAATCCTCTCCTGCTCCGCATCCTGAATTGCAATAAACGAGAAGTCTACTACTCTTTTTCTCCAGACCCCTCCCAGGTACAGGTGCCATCAGAAAGAGCTTTAAGAACACGGAGAAATCACTCCCTTCAAAGCCTAGGGCTGCAGAGCCTTAGAACATTGGGAGCACATGTACTGCTCCACAGACCCAGGGCAATATGGAATTAAGGAAGCGCTGTTAGGTTTCTCGAGGGTCACAGGCTCCAGAGTCATATTTCTCGGAATCTGCAATGCTGAAGATTGCACAGATTACGAATGCTGTCTACTTGAAGAAATCCTGAAAAGCTTCTTGGGCACACCTGAGCACACCCTGGAGTTTGTGCCCATCCTAAAGACACAGCCCACCCGTTGTACCAGAAATCACTCCGCTGACTCCCCAGAGAGTGCATGCAGGCTTCCCTCCTGTGGCAAGAACTCAGTCAACACTCCAGCATCCGTGGACCATTTGAAGCTGCTGCACAGTCAAATTTCATGGCTTTCATCCCAACATCTAAGCGTGCTAGATGTCACAGCCTGAGCTCCTTACCTTGCTCCGGAAGGAGCCTCTGGGCTTGGAACAGGGTAACAGTCAGAGGTGTGATGGCAGTCCCTTCTGCGTCTGAGCATTGTGTCAGGTTGCAGTACTCCCACCTAGCATTGGGATCCATCGTATAACAATAAGGGCGCACTTTGGGATCTGGATTCCTGCAGTAGTTCTGATCAAGCCACTGGAAATTTCAGATGATACATGTCACAGAGGTGGGACACTCTGCAGGGCACCCACACCCCTCTCCTTTGTGCTGCAACCAAGGTCATTACCAGTGCCTTTCTAGTATACCCATTAAAAGTACCATATGATTGCCACGAGCACGAATGGCTCTCATTCCTAATCCTGTCTACTACATTTCTCACACTTAAGAGATTATTAGGATTTTTTAAATCTAAACTAGCTAACGCTTCTTAGAACCTGGGATAATGCATACACATGGCCCAAAAATGATCAGACTATTTTCCTTCTGCCTTCTGCACTTTAATCCATCTCTCTGGAATAACTGGTATAGATTTTAATGTCTATATTTTGCCATTGTTTATTCACATAGAAAAGTATTTGTATGTGTCTAGTTCTCAGTATCTAACTTGGTAGGACTTCACTTTCTAATGTAGAGATTGCAAGTAACATAGTTCTTCAGAGAAAACATCCAGAAGGATAGCACCAGATCAACCTTCACACACTATGTACCCAAAATGTAGTGAAAAGTCTCTCCGTTTCACATGCAGAAATGCAGTGTACAGAAATACTAATACTATCTGTCATTCCCATATCACGTATTCAAGTAGGTTTATTTCTGCGACTTCTCAGCTGCCTGAAAAATTTGCTCCCGGGCAGGATGCAGTATCTCTAGAACGGGTTCCTGGGCAGGACCTTCTCTCTCCAATCTATCCTCTTTGCTGGCCACAGCCACTCCGGGACTGAGGGAAGCGGATGAGTTGGAAAGAACAGTGGGACCCATGGCATCAAGGAGACGGCAGGGTAGACCAAGAGATCTGAGAGGTTGGACAGCTACAGAGGAGCGAAAACAATGAAGACGGGGGAGTAAAAACAGGGGAGTTTGGGCTGCAAACTTGGAGGCATTCGCTCTTCCTATGCCTGCCAAAACGTTGCTCCAACCTCTCCAGTATCCTCATAACATGACCTGTAGCTGCCTGAGAAAATGGGAAATGTATTCTGGGCCATGGGTTCAACACTCTCTCTATATAGACTGTACAGTTGTGACTAGTCTCACCCCAGACCTCCATTCCAGGAAGTTGGTTCAGTCAGCAACTGGATGTATAAGAGCCCAAGCTCTTGAAAGACTTTCTTCCTTGCTTCCCTCTTTGGAATGCATGGAATATTCTTATTATAACATAATCCTCAGAGTTCAAAACTGTGTGATTGCTCCAGGATTCGCAATATCATGAACCCACACAGTAACCTTTTATTAATATTACATACCATCATTAAGCAGGGTAAAACTTTATTGGTACACTTCCAATTAATGCCTGCATGATTTAAACTACGTGTTCCAAACTGTTACCTCTACATATGCTAAAGTTAAACATAGTGCTATCATTTTGCTTCAAGTAGTCAACTCTCTTTTAAAAAGACATAGAAATTTGATCAAGAAAATATTTTGCATTTACATCTATCTGCATTTGCCAGCTGCTGGTATCTACATTACATGGGCTGCAGAAAGTTCCCTTCTTCTTTTCTTCTTCTTCTATCTATGCCTTCGGGTCCCTCTCTTGTTACAGAAACCTGCTGATTCCAAAGTCTGGCAGTTTCTGGTTTCTTTGTTTGGGGCAGTGCACAATATGCATTTATTCAACACAGATCATCTTAAGGCATTTTTATTGCTGGATTCAACATTCTCGGTTGATCTCTTCTGGTTCCAGATTATCATTTTAATAATATTGCCTGGATCTGGCTTCCAGTGTTTCTGAGGTGAATGCATTAGCAATTTGTATCCCTCTACGTCTGGAAGGCCATCTCCTGATCATCCAGTTTCTCTGAGATGTTTCTTCGTAGTATACCTTTGCCTTGTTACTTTCGAACTGTGATGTAAAATTAGAGCACACAGGTTTTTTCTTTTTTTTCCCCAAAATTCCTATTTGATCCCTAGAGTTTCATGAAGCTGTGATTTTTTCAATGTTCTTCATAATTGAAAAGTTATCAACCATCCTTGACTCAGGTACTTGCTTCTACTCCAAACGCCCTTGCTGTTTTCTGTGACTTATTCCCACATGCAGAAATATTTTCAGGTCTCCTGCATGTCTATGAAACAGTTGATTTCATATTTCACTATTTCTTCAGAGTGTGCTTGTGTCTAAGAGAACTTGTGAGTTTTTGCCTGCATGCGTGTATGGGTGTGTTTTGAATTTGTGTGTGTGTGTGTGTGTGTGTGTGTAATTAGTTCTGCCCAGGTTCTGTAGAATGGTTTTTGGTTAATTTTTTTCTTTGGGAAATGTCTAACTTGAGCCGGTGGCCATGCAGTAATTTTCATTTAAGGCGTGCTTTTAATACTAATCCTTTAATTTGATTATGCTATTGTATACTATAAATTTCTCTTGATATGATATCACAGTTTGTTGCATATTCATTTTTTTTTTAAACTTTTGAAATCCGTTGTACACCGATATGTAAATTTTTTTCGCCCCAAATTCTAATCATTATATCATTTCCGAGCTTGTTTGTGTGCCTGATTTATTTCCTGGTCATGGATCACACAAATGCTTTTCTACATGTAGTCAAAGTTTAAATCTGTGATTCACTCTGGGGATACCACACAGCTGAGTCAATGAACTTTGTTTGTTTTACTTGTAGAGAGTTCAGATTGCCTCTCACAGGCGGTTCATTGACTTGAAACCGATTTGATGGGTGGACACGGCTGTTCAATATGCAAGAGTGGCTGTCTGCAGCTGCCTGATTTCTAGGGTATATTAATCCCACTTTTAAATCAAGGTTGTTCTGGGGTCTCACTGGATTGGCAATGTATTCTGTGAGGACCCTCTCATCTAGCTGGTAAGAACTCCAGTCTCCCACAGTGCTATGTGATCTCTGCCTTCTTTACTGAGCTTCCTGTTCTCTTGTAGTTGCTGTTTCTCCAGTAGTGACTGCTTTTATATACTGTTCTAGAACCATTTTTCGGTGCACATGCAGCATCCTGTCAGGCCAACAAATGGAGGAGACTTCTATGCGTATTTGTGAGCTCCTTTACATACAACAGAGTCTAATTTGTAGCAGACCTCAGAGAACAGCTACCAGAGTCATCCCAAACTCCAATCCCTCCCTACATGCAGCATTGGCTACAGTCTGCTTGGGCTCCATCTGCTTGCTACTCAGTGCAGGAAGGTATCCAGGAAGAAAGCCAAGGCATCTATGGGATTGAACTAATCATTTGCCCCACTCTCAATTCTCTGAGTCCTATAACATCTCTTGTACATAGAGAAACCATTTCTCCATGTCTTTACGTGATCGCTCATTGGCAAAAAGAATTGACCATGGGGTGCTCAGGCCCGCCAGACTTCTGTCCATCTCCCCATCGCTTTTTGCTTTTCCACTTGTCAAATCTCTTTGCTCACTCTCATCTGCCTTCCTGCCTTGGCTCTTCTCTTGCTGCGAACCTGTATCCCTTCAGGCCACTGGTACTGAAGGCAGTGTTCATCCACCACATTCTGGAGTTACACAAGGCGTGAAAGAGATACATTTACCTGCCCATAAATAAGCACCTATCTTTCCCCTCGCAGGCCCAGACAGAAAGAGGCAGAGCAACCTTCCCTTCAGGAATTGGAAGTAGGAATAACAGAGATTCCAGTTGGAAAGTGTTCATTGACCCTTAGTGGGTGTTGCGGAAGGGGAATCTAAGTGTTTGGTCATTTGCCATTCTGACTTTCTTCATAATGTGATGTCATACGCCTCAGATTTTCCCTTCTGCTCCATAAAACTAGGAGGAAGGAGGCAGCTTAACAGTTCTCTTCTCTCAGACCATATCTCAGGCAATCATCCTGGAAACATTTTGCTAAGCCATGTCGTCAGCTAAGTTGAGTTGGAGAACTCAGCAAGCTGCGTCTCTTCCAACCAGAAACTTCCAGTTGACCCTTTCTTCTCTTATGATAAAGAACAAAGACATACCCATTTGGGTAGTTTTCATGAGGTCATTTATGAGGAGTGTGGTTTCATAGATGACCAAGCAGCGAGTTCTTCCTGTATCACAGTGGTGAAGTATGTGCCTCGATAACTCTGTCAGTTACCGTGTGCCTCCTGGACACCCAGGCCTTTGCTCAGTCGGTGCTGAAAGGAAAACAGAAGAAATCAAAGTGAGTATCACTGAGAACAGAGATACATGTGAAGCCACTGATGACACAACCAGGAAGAGTCTACCAAATTACGACCATACTCTTCCTTATCCGTAGACTGATGGATGTGAGAAAACCAACCAACAAACCAACACCAAAGCGAATTCCTACCATTCTAGAACCATAGTCAGTTCTTGGAAATATTTCACCTGCAACCTTAGAGAAAGAAAACAGATCAGACTGCTTCTCATTGGAAAGTGCGCTCACGAGCAAGCACCTTTCTGGGAAATTCTACTGAATCTTCATGAGGAAGATGGGGCAGGATCGAGCAAAGACACTGCATTTCAGCAATGCGGGCTGCAGGGGGTGTCGGCTGCTCGGAGACAAGAGAGGCAGACCTGAACATGGAAATTTTGCATGTTTCCTAGACCGTTGTTCATAAGCCAAGGCCAGCAGCTTCCGGGCCATGGGGAGCAGAAAAAGGTCCTCTATATCTGACTGAAAGCAACGTACTTTTCTTCTCAGGGATGTGTGCAGGCAAAAACTTATTCCTCTGGAGACAGAGAATCCTCTCGTGCCCACATCTCTCAAGATTGCAATAAAGGAGAAATCTACTCTTTCTCTCAGACCCCTCCCAGAGTACAAGTGCCATCAGAAAGAGGTTTAAGAACACGGAAAATCACTTCCTTCAAAGCCTAGGGCTGCAGAGCCTTAGAGCATTGAGAGCTCATGCTACTCCACAGACCCAGGGTGATATGGAATTAAGGAAGCCCTGTTAGGTTTCTCAATTGACGGGCTCGGAGTCATATTTCTGGGAATCTGCAAAGCTGAAGACTGCACCAAATGCTGTCTGTAAGAGAAATCCACAAATGCTTCTGGCTTGGAAAGAATCACACACCTCAGAGCAAGTCACAATAAAAATGTTGGCTAAGGCACTGAGATAGTCCGTTTTACAACGAGGTGACTCGTGCAGGTGATCACCCTGGAGGGTTTGGGCCCATCCTAAGGGCACAGCCCACCCACGTTGTACCAGAAATCACTCCGCTGACTCCCCCAGAGAGTGCATGCAGACTTCCTCCTACATGGCAGAACTCAGTCAACACTCCAGCATCCGTGGACCATTGAGCTGCCACACCACTGGGAATTTCCATGGCTTTCATCCCAGCGTCTAAGCATGTAGGTGTCTGGCTACAGGCTCCTTACCTTGTTCTGAAGGAGCCTCTAGGCTTGGAACCGGGGTGACATTCGGAGGTCAGGCGGCAGTCCCTTCTGCATCGAGCATTGTGTCCAGGTTGCAGTACTCCCACACCTGACATTGGGATCCATCGTATAACAATAAGGGGCTGCCACAGGATCTGGATTCCTGCAGTAGTTCCTGATCAAGCCACTGGAAATTCCAAAACCATACATGTCACAAGAGGTGGGACTCTATGCAGGGACACCCCACACCCTCTCCTTTGTGCGGCAAAAAGGTCGTTCCTGGTGCCTTTCTGATATACCCATTAAAAGTACCATATGATTGCCACAGCCCAGATAAACAATCACTAATCCTCTCTGCACATTTCTCATACTTAATAGGTGTATTACTACTTTTAAAATCTAAACTATGGCTTAACACTCTTTTCTGTGACTTGGTTCCCACATGCAGAAATATTTTCAAATTCTCTACACGTCTGTGAGGCTTGGTTGATTTTATATTTCACTATTTTTTCAGGACTGTTGTTGTGTAAGGAGAACTTGTGAGTTTTTGCGTGCGTGCGTGTATGGGTGTGTTTTGAACTTGGGTTTGTGTGTGTAACTCGTTCTGCAGGTTCTGTAGAACTGATTTTTGGTTAACTTTTTCTTCTGAATTGTTTAGCAGGCAGGCGGCCATGCGTAATTTTTTCATTTAAGACATACTGTTTTTATATAGTCCATTAAATTTGATTTCGCTTTCCGGACGTTAATTTCTCTTGATACGATATCTGGTTTGTTTCTGTGTTTTTTTAAATATTTGAAATCAGTTGTCATAATATGTCCAAATTTTCATGCAATTCTAATCATTTCTATCCATTTTCTGAGCTTGTTTGTATTGCCTGATTTCTCTCTGGTTATGGATCACACAAAATGTTTTCCTACGTGTAGTCAGAGTTTAAATTTAGGACTCAGTCTTAGGATACCTCATATTGTTAATTGACTTTTCTTGTTTACTTGTAAAGAGACGTCAAGTTTCCTTTTACTGGCAGTTCATTGATTTGGAAACTAATTTGATGCTTGGACCTCCTTTTCAGCTATGAGAAAGGGGTTCTCCGCAGCTGCCTGTATTCTAGGGGCCGATTAATACCACTTTTTAAAATTATGACTGTTCTGGGGTCTCCCACAAGTGGCAACGTGTTCTGCAGGGACTCTCTCGTCAGCTGGTAAGGACACAGTCTCCACAGTGCTATGTGATCTCTGTCTTCTTTATTGAGCTGCTGTTCTCGTGTAGTTATGTTTCTCAGTAAATGATCTTTAGCATACTTTCTTGTGGAGCGATTGTCTGTGCATATTCAAATCATCAGGCCAACAACTGGAGAGACTTCTATCGTACTTGTAGTCTTTCCTCCACAAACCAGGTCTTATTTGTAGCAGACCTAGAAAGTTTTAGCTACCAGAGTCATCCCAAAGTCCAATCCCTCCCCTACCTTCAGCAAGATGGCTACAGTCTCCTTGGGCTCCATCTCCTCGCTAGTCAGTGCAGGCGTATCTCAGAAGTAAGCCAAGGCATCTGCAGGTTGAGTCATCACATTTGCCCCTCTCTCAATTCTCTAGGTCCTTTACCATTCTTGTCCCACATGGAGAAATCATTTCTCTATGTCCTTCATACTCACTTGTGGCCAAAAAATTGGCCCTGGGGTGCTCAGACCCAGGCTTCTCTCCGTCTCCACATCCCTTTTGTTTTACAGCATCCGTGTCTTTGCTCACTCTCATCTGCCTTCCTGCCTTGGTTCTTCTCTTCCTGTGAACCCGTATCCCTTCAGGCCTCTGGTACTGAAGGCCAGTGTTCCTCCCCATTGGAGTTTACATAGATGTAGAAAGAGATACATTTACCTGTCCATAAATAAGCACCTATCTTTCCTCATAAGCTCAGACAGAAAAGGCAAACACAATCTTCCCTTCAGGAATTGGAAGTCAGAATAAGAGAGTTCCAATGGGAAAGTCTTCATTGACCCTTAGTGGGTGTTGCGAGAGGGGAATCTAGAGGTATTTAGTCATTTGCCATTCTGACTTTCTTCATAATGTGATGTCCTCGCCTCCAGATTTCCCTTCTGCTCCACTCAAACTAGGAGGAAGGAGAGGCAGCTTAGCAGTTCTCTTCTCTCAGACCCTTAGCTCCAAGGCAATCATCCTGAGACATTTGCTGCCATCTCGTCTGGCCTTACAAGTTGAGTTCGGAGAACTCAGCTTGAAGCTCTTCCGTCTCTTCTAACAGAAACTTCAGTTGACCCTTTCTTCTCTTACAGTAAAAATTAAAAGACCCATACCCATTTGGGTAGTTTTCTGGGAGTCCGACTATGAGAGTGCGGTGTCATAGATGACCAAGCAGCGGAGTTCTTCCTGTCAGTGGTGAAATATGTGCCTCGATAACTCTGTATCCATTACCGTGGTAGCCTCCCCTGCACCCCAGGCCTTTGCTCAGTCGGTGCTGAAAGGAAAACAGAAGAAATCAAAGTGAGTATCTCTGAGAACAGAGAAACATGTGAAACCACTGATGGTACAACCAAGCAGTTTATGAGAGTGCGGCCGCACTCTTTTCCTTCTCTGTAGAGGCCGAGGGATGTGAGACAACAGCAGCAAACCAACACCAAAGCAACAGATTTCTACCATTCCTAGAACCGTAAGATCTTGGAAATATTTCACCTGTAACACAAAGAAACTGAACAACTCAGTCTGCTCCTCATTGGAAAGTGCGCTCACGAGCAAGCACCTTTCAGGAAACTCTACTAAATGTTCATACAGAAAGATGGGGCAGGATCGAGCAAAGGAGCATTGAATTTGGCAATGCAGGCTGCAGAAGTGTCGGCTGTGGGGACAGGCGGGGACAGACATGAAAATTTTGCCCTGTTTCCCTAGACCGTTGTTCACTTGAAATCTTGAGCCTTTGGCTTCCGGGCCATGGGGCAGAAAATGGTCCTCTATATCTGACTGAAAGGCAGCGACACTTTGCTTCTCAGGGATGTGTGCAGGTAGCGTATTCCTCTGGAGGACAGAGGGGAATCCTCTCGTGCCCGCAACCTGAATTGCAATAAAGGAGGGAACTCTACTACTCTTTCTCTCCAGACCCCTCCCAAGTACAAGTGCCATCAGAAAGAGGTTTAAGAACACGGAAATCCACTCCCTTCAAAGCCTAGGGCTGCAGAGCCTTACAACATTAGGAGCTCTGTACTGCTCCACAGACCCAGGGCGATATGGGAATTAAGGAAGCCCTGTTAGGTTTCTCCAGGGTGACGGGCTCCAGAGTCATATTTCTCCAGAATACAATGCTGAGGTGCACTCAATGCTGTCTGCTTGAAGAAATTTCTGGAAATGCTCTCTGGCTTGGAAAGAGTCACACACCTCAGAGCATGTCACAATAAAAATGTTGGCTAAGACACTGAGATAGTCCGTTTTACAATGAGGTGACTTGTGCAGGCGATCACCCTGGAGAGTTTTGGGCCCATCCTAAGGGCACAGCCCACCCACATTTGTACCAGAAATCCTCCCTAGTTCCCAGAGGTGCACGCAGGCTTCTCCTACATGGCAGAACTCAGCAGTCAACACTCCAAGCATCTGTGGACCATTGAAAACTGCCGCACCACTGGGAATTTCCGCAGCTTTCATCCCAGAGTCTAGAGGTGCGTAGAAGTCTGGCCACAGGCTCCTTACCTTGTTCAGAGGCCTCTAGGTTTTGGAACCAGGGTGACATTCGGAGTGCGATGGCAGTCCCTTCTGCGTCTGAGCATTGTGTCAGGTTGCAGCCTCCCACCTGACATTAGGATCCATCGTATAACAATGAGGGGCTGCCACAGGATCTGGATTCCTGCAGTAGTTCTAGTCAAACCTGGAAATTCAAAACCATACATGTCACAAAGGGTAGGACCTATGCAGGCACCCACAGCCTCTCCTTTGTGCGGGAACAAAGGTCATTCCTGGTGCCTTTCCTAATATACCCATTAAAGAGTACCATATGATTGCCACAAGCATGAATGGCTCTCAATCACTAATCCTCTCTGCATTTCTCATGTACTTAATAGATTATTACTATTTTTGTATATCTAAAAGGGCAGCGCTTCCTAGAGACACTGAGATAAATGCATACATGTGGCCAAAACATGATCAAGAGTATTCGCCTTCTACCTTCTGCCCAATCCATCTCTCTGGAATAATGGTATGCATTTTGATGCCTGTATTGTCCCATTGTTGATTCACACACAAAAGTATCTGTATCTGTCTAGGTCTGTGTATCTCTCAGTAGGGCTTCATATTCTAAAGTGGGAGTTGCAGCTAACATGTGGTTCTTCCGAAAACAAGGCATCCAGAAGGACAACTCCAGGTCAACCTTCACATACTATGTACTCAAAGGAAATGTAGTGAAAGGCTCTCGTTTCTGTAGAAACGCATCGTGCAAATACTATTACTGTCTGTCATTCTCATATCACATGGGTCAAGTGGGTTTCTTTCTGCACGACTTCTCAAAGCTGCCCTGAAAAATTTTCTCTCGGTCAGGATGCAGTATCTCTGGGAATGAGTTCCTGGGCAGGACCTTCTCCTCTTGCCCTCAATCCTATTTCTGCTGGCTGCAGCCACTCCGGGACTGAGGGAAGCCAGGATGAGTTGAAAGAACAGTGGGGACCCATGGCATCAAGGAAGATGGCAGGAAGACTAAGAGATCTGAAGAGGAGTCAGACAGCTACGGAGGCAGAAAGCAATGAAGAAGGGACAAAGCAGGGGGAGGGAGTTTGGGCTGCGGGGATCTTGAGCATTCGCTCTTCCTTATGCCTCCCAACAACGTTGCTCCAACCTGTCAGTATCCTCACATTCATGACCTGTGGCTGCTGAAAATGGGAGATGTATTCTGAGCCATAGGATCAACACACTCTCTCTCTAGAGACTCTACAATTGTGACCTAGTCTCAACCTCAGACCCTCCATTCCAGGAAGCTGGTTCAATCAGCAACTGGATGTATAAGAGCCCGAGCTCTTCAAAGACTTCTTTTTCTTCCATGGCTTCCCGCTTTGGAATGTGTGGAATATTCTTATTATAACATAAACTTCAGAGTCAAAAACTGCTGCGATTGCTCTAGGATTTGCAATATCCTTCGAATCCACACATTAACCTTTTTATTAATGTTACATACCATCGTGCATGAGGTAAGACACAGTGGTACACTTCCAATTATTACCTGTATGATTTATGCTACCTGTTCAACCTGTTACCTCTACATATGCTAAACTTAAACATAGTGCTATCATTCTGCTTCAAGCAGTCAACTCTCATTCAAAAAGACATAGAAATTTGATCAAGAAAATATTTTGCATTTACATCTATCTGCATTTCTTGGTGCTGGATTCTACATTACATGGGCTACAGAAGAGAGGTTCTCTTCTGTTCTATTCTTCTTCTATGTAATTCCTTCGGGTCACGTCTCTTGTTACATAAGGCTGCTCATTCCAAAGTCTGGCAATTTCTGGTTTCTTTGTGTGGGGCAGTGCATAATATCATTTATCAACATAGATCATCATCAAGGCATTTATTGCTGGAGTGCAGCATTCTCAGTTGATCTCTTCTGGTTCAGATTATCCTTTTAATAATATTCCCTGGCTTCGGCTTCAGTGTTTCTGAGGTGAATCATTAGCAATTTGTATCAGTATTACTTCTAGGAAACTGACTCTTCTTCCTCCACTTTCTCCCTGAGATGTTTCTTCGTATTACCTTTGCCTCATTACCTTCGAACTGTGATGTACAAGTACAACACACACGGTTTTTCTGTTTGTTTGTTTGTTTGTTTGTTTCTGAAATTTCCTATTTGATTCCTAGCGTTTCTTGAAACTGTGATTTGTCAATGTTCTTCATAATTGAAAAGTTATCAACCATCCTTGATTCAGTACTTGCTTCTACTCAAACTCCCTTGCTCTTTTCTGTGACTTGCTTCCCAGCAAGAGAAATCTTTTCATATTTTCCTACATGTCTGTGAGGCTCGGTTGATTTCGTATTTCACTATTTCTTCAGGAGTGTCCTTGTGTGTAGAGAAACTTGTGAAATTTTGCGTATGTCCGTGTCCGGGTGTGTTTTGGTGGGTGTGTGTAAAGTAGTTCTGTAGGTTCTGTAGAATTGCTTTTTGGTTAATTTTTTTCTTCTGAAATGTCTAACTTGATCTGGGTGGCCATTACAGTAATTTTCCATTTAAAACATACTGTTTTTATATTAGTTCTTTAATTTGATTTGGCTATTCTATACTGTTAATTTCTCTTGATATGACATCTGGTTTGTTTCATATTCATTTTTATAAATATCACAAATCAGTTGTCATACTGGTATGTCAAATTTCATGCAATTCTGACATTTCAGAGCTTGTTTGTATTGTCTGATTTATTTCTTGATTTATGGATCACTGAAATGCTTTCCTCCATGTAGTCAAAGTTTAAATTTAGGACTCACTCTTGGGATACCTCATAGCTGAGCCAATTGACTTTCTTGTTTACTTGTAAAGAGACTTCAGATTTCCTCTCACTAGCAGTTCATTGACTTGGAAACCGATTTGATGCTTGCCCACTCGCTTTTAAGCTATGAAAGTGGGAGTTCTGCAACTGCCTGTATTCTAGGAATATATTATTACCCTTTTAAATTATGACTGTTCTGAGGTCTCACAAATGGCAACGTATTCTGTGAGGACTCTCTCATCTGGCTGGTAAGAACTCCAGTCTCCCACAGTGCTATGTGATCTCTGTCTTCTTTATTGAGCTTGCTGCTCTCGTGTAGTTGCTGTTTCTCAGTAAATGTTCTTTGCCATACTGTCTTGTGGAACCATTGTCTGTGCACATGCAGCGTCATGTCAGGCCAACAACTGGAGGGGACTTCTATGCGTGTTGTAGAGCTCCTTTCCTCCACAAACCAGGTCTTATTTCTGGCAGACCTAGAAAGTCTTAGCTACAGAAGTCAACCCAAACTCCAATCCCTCCCTACCTTCAGCAAGACGGCTACAGTCTGCTTGGTCTCCATATCCTTGCTGGTCAGTGCAGGAAGGGTATCCAGGAAGAAAGCCAAAGGCATCTGGTTCCCAGGCTCATCGACTGCCCCTCTCTCAATTCTCTGGAGTCTTCCGACCATCTCCTGTCCCTTGGAGAAACCATTTCTCCATGTCTTTTAGCAACTAGTCACTCGTGGCAAAGAATTGGACCTGGGGTGCTCCAGACCCAGGCTTCTGTCCATCTCCCCATCCCTTTGTTTCAGCATCCGTGTCTTTGCTCACTCTCATCTGCCTTCCTGCCTTGGCTCTTCTCTTGCTGCGAACCCGTATCCCTTGTGAGCCACTGGTACTTAAGGTCAAGTGTTTCCCTCCCCATTGGGTTACATAGACATAGAAAGAGATACATTTACCTGTCCATAAATAAGCACCTATCTTTCCTCATGAGCCCAGACAGAAAAGGCAAACACAACCTTCCCTTCAGGAATTGGAAGTCAAGTGTAAATTCCAATTGGAAAGTCTTCATTGACCCTTAGCAGTGGGTGTTGTGGAAGGGAATCAAGTGTTTGGTTGTTTGCCATTCGGCTTTCTTCATAATGTGATGCCCTCGCCTCCATTTCCTTCTGCTCCATAAAACTAGGAGGAGGCAGCTTACGAGTTCTCTTCTCTCAGACCCTTAGCTCCAAGGCAATCATCCTGAGACATTCTGCTACGCCATCACCGTCTGACACAAGTTGAGTAAGGAGAACTCGGCGAAGCACGTCTCTTCTAACAGAAACTTCAGTTGACCCTTTCTTCTCTTACGGTAAAGAACAAAGACATACCCATTTGGGTAGTTTTTCTGGGAGTCCGACTATGAGAGTGCAGTGTCATGAACTGACCAAGCTTAGCAGGTTCTTCCTGTCACAGTGGTGAAGTATGTGCCTCGATAACTCTGTCCATTACCGTAGTAGCACTCCTGCACCCCAGGCCTTTGCTCGAAATTCGGTGCTGAAGAAATAGAAGAAATCAATGAGTATCTCTGAGAACAGAAGAGAAACATGTGAAACCACACTGATGACCACAGCCAGGAAGGAGTTCATAGGGTCGGCCGTACTCTCATAGGCCGACAGATGTCAAGAAACCACCCAACAAACCAACACCAAGAAGCAGATTCCTACCATTCTAGAACCGTAGTAAGTTCTTGGAAATATTTCACCTGAGAGCAGAGAAAGAGAACAGATCAGTCTGCTCTCCTCATTGGAAAGTGTGCTCACGAGCAAAAGCTGTACCTTTCTGGGAAACTCTACTGAATGTTCATGAGGATGATGGGGGCAGGATCAGGCAAAGGGCACTACATTTGGCAATGCGGGCTGCAGGTGGTAATCAGCTGTCGGGGTGTAATCGGCTGTTGGGGACAGAGGTGGGGACAGACATATTTCCTAGACCGTTGTTCGCCCGAAAATGACCAAGACCCTGGCTTCCGTGCCATGGGACAGAAAACAGTCCTCTATATCCGACTGAAGGCAACGACACTTTGCTTCTCAGAGATGTGTGCAGGCCAGAAGCTTATTCCTTTGGAGGAGAGAGGTAATCACTCCTGCCCTGCATCCTGAATTGCAATAAAAGAGAAGTCTACTACTCTTTCTCTCCAGACCCCTCCCAGGTACAAGTGCCATCAGAAACAGATTTGTAAGAACACTGAAATCACTCCCCTTCAAAGCCTAGGGCTGCAGAGCCTTAGAGCATCCAGGAGCTCATGCACCACTCCACAGATTCAGGGCAGTATATGGATTAAGGAAGCCTGTTAGGTTTCTCAAGGCGACAGACTCCGTCTGTCTCAGAATCCGCAATACTGAAGATTGCACCCAATGCTGTCTACTTGAAGAAATCTGAAATGCTTCCTGGCTTGGGGAAAGAGTCACACACCTCAGAGCAAGTCACAATAAAAATGTTGGCTAAGACACTGAGATGATCCGTTTTACAATGAAGTGACTTGTGCAGGGGATCACCTGGAGGATTTTGGGCCCATCTAAAGACACAGTCCACCCACCTTGTACCAGAAATCACTCCTCTGATTCCCGGGGAGTGCTCAGAGCTTCCTCCTACATGGCAGAACGCAGTCGACACTCAGAACATCCGTGGAACATTGGCTTAACCGCACCGCGCTGGGAATTTCCATGGCTTTTCATCCCAGCGTCAAAGCGTGTAGGTGTCTGGCCACAGGCTCCTTACCTTGTTCTGAGTAGCCTCTGGGCTTAGAACCGGGGTGACATTCGGAGGTGCGACAGCAATCCTTCTGCATCCTGAGCATTGTGTCAGATTGCAGTACTCCCATCAACATTGGGATCCATCGTATAACAATAAAGGGGGCTGCCACAGGATCTGGATTCCTGCAGTAGTTCCTGATCAAGCCACTGGAAATTCCAAAACCATACATGTCACAAGAGGTGGGACACTATGCAGGGACACCCCACACCCTCTCCTTTGTGCAACCCAACAAGGTCGTTCTGGTGCCTTTCCTAATATACCCATTAAAGCGACCTTATAATTTCCACAATACGAATGGCTCTCAATCACTAATTCTCTCTGCACATTTTCTTATGTAATAGACTATTACTATTTTTGTAAATCTAAAAGACAAACCTTCCCTAGAACCCACTGAGATAATGCATACACATTAGCCAAAACATGATAATACTGTTCTCCTTCTACCTGCTGCCCAATCCATCTCTGGAATAACTGAAGCGCCGTTTTGATGCCTGTATTATGCCATTGTGGATTCACACACAAAAGTATCTGTATCTGTCTAGTTCTGCCTATCTCTCTCGGTAGGGCTTCATATTCTAAAGCGGGAGTTGAAACTAACATGTAGTTCTTCCGAGAAAACATGGCATCCAGAAGGACAGCCTTTCCAAGTCAACCTTCACATACTATGTACTCAGAAACTAGTGAAAAGGCTCTCACGTTTCACATGAAGCATCGTGCAAATAGTATTACTATCTGTCGTTCTCATATCATGTGGGTCAAGTAGGTTTCTTTCTGCACGACTTCTCAAAGCTGCCCTGAAAAATTTTCTCCCAGTCAGGATGCAGTATCTCTAGAATGGGTTCTTGGGCAGGACCTTCTCTCTTGCCCTCAATCTATCCTCTGCTGACCGCAGCTACTCCGGGACTAAGGGAAATCGGATGAGGTTAGAAAGAACAGTGGGACATGGCATCCAAGGAAGACGGCAGGGTAGGCTAAGAGAGATCACAGAAGGTCAGACAGCTGCGGAGGAGCAGAAAGCAATGAAGAAGGGGACAAAGCGGGGAGGAGTTTGGGCTGCAGGGATCTTGAAGCATTATCTTCCTTATGCCTCCCAATAACGTTGCTCCAACCTGTCAGTATCCTCATATTCATGACCTGTGGCTGCCTGAGAAAATGGGAAATGTATTCTGGGCCATGGGGATCCAACACTCTCTCTCTAGAGACTCTACAATTGTGACCTAGTCTCAACCTCAGACCCTCCATTCCAGGAAGCTGGTTCAATCAGCAACTGGATGTATAAAACCTAAGCTCTTGAAAGACTTCTTTTCTTCCACTGGCTTCCCGCTTTGGAATGTGTGGAATATTCTTATTATAACATAAACCTCAGAGGTCAAAACTGCGATTGCTCTAGGATTTGCAATATCCCTTTGAACCCACACAGTAACCTTTTATTTAATGTGCCACTGTCGTGCATGAGGTAAGACACGGTGATACTCTTCCAATTATTACCTGCATGATTTATGCTACCTGTTCAAACTGTTACCTCTACATATGCTAAACTTAAACATAGTGCTATCATTCTGCTTCAAACGATCAACTCTCATTCAAAAAAGAACATAGAAATTTGATCAAAGAAAAATATTTGCATTTACATCTATCTGCGCTTTGCTAATTGCTGGATTCTACATTACGTAGGCCGCAGAAAGTTCCCTTCTTCTATTCTTCTTCTATGTAATTCCTTTGGGTCACGTCTCTTGTTACATAAGGCTGCTCATTCCAAAGTCTGGCAGTTTCTGGTTTCTTTGTTTGGGGCAGTGCACAATGTACATTTATCAACGCAGATGATCATCAAGGCATTTTATTGCTGGATGCAGCATTCTCGGTTGATCTCTTCTGGTTCCAGATTATCATTTTAATAATATTCCTGGCATCCGGCCAGTGTTTCTGAGGTGAAAGCATTAGCAATTTGTATCACTGTACTTCTAGGAAGACACAGCTCTTTTTCCTCCACTTTCTCCGGAGAAGTTTCTTCGTATTATGCCTTTGCCTTGTTACCTTCGAACTGTGATGTACAGAAGTACAACACACATGGTTTTTTCTGCTTGTTTGTTTGTTTCTGAAATTTCCTATTTGATCCCCAGAGTTTCATGAAACTGTGATTTTGTCAACATTCTTCATAATTGAAAAGTTATCAGCATCCTTGATTCAGGTACTTGCTTGACCTCAAACTGCTTTGCTCTTTTCTGTGACTTGCTTCCCACATACAGGGAAATCTTTTCATATTTTTCCTACACGTCTGTGAGGCTCAGTTGATTTCATGTTCCACTATTTCTTCCAAGTGTCCTTGTGTGTGAGAGAACTTGTGAAATTTTGCGTTTGTCCATGTACGGGTGTGTTTTGGATTTGCTGGGGTGTGTGTGTTACTAGTTCTGTGAGTTCTGTAGAATTGCTTTTCAGTTAATTTTTTCTTCTGAAATGTCTAATTTGATAAGGTGGCCATGCAGTAATTTTTCCATTTAAGACATACTGTTTTTATATTAGTTCTTTAATTTGATTTGGCTATTCTATACTGTTAATTTCTCTTGATATGACATCTGGTTTGTTTCCTATTCATTTTTTTAAATATTTGAAATCGGTTGTCATACTGATATGTCAAATTTTCATGCAATTCCAATCATTTCTGTCATTTCTGAGCTTCTTTGATTGCCTGTTTTTTCTCCTGGTTATGGATCACACAAATCTTTCCTCCATGTAGTCAAAGTTTAAAATTAGGACTCACTCTTGGGATACCTCATAGCTGAGCCAATTGACTTTCTTGTTTACTGATAAAAGAGACTTGAGATTTCCTCTCACTGGCAGTTCATTGACTTGAAAACCGATTTGATGCTTGGACACTCCTTTCAGCTATGTAAAGGAGTTGTCTGCAGCTGCCTGTATTCTCCAGAATATATTAATACCACTTTTAAATTATGGCTGTTCTGGGGTCTCACGGAATTGTAGCAGGTTCTGTGAGGACTCTCCCCCGTCTAGGTGGTAAGAACTCCAGTCTCCCACAGTGCTATGTGATCTCTGTCTTCTTTACTGAGCTTGCTGTTCTCGCGTAGTTGCTGTTTCTCAGTAAATGTTCTTTGCCATACTTTCTTGTGGAACCATTGTCTGTGCACATGCAGCATCATGTCAGGCCAACAACTGGAGGAGACTTCTTTGCGTATTTGTAGAGCTCCTTTCCTTCACAAACCAGGTCTTATTTGTAGGAGACCTAGAAAGTTTTGCAGTTACCAAGTCATCCCAAACTCCAACCCCTCCCCTACCCTTCAGCAAGATGACTACAGTCTGCTTGGGCTCCATCTCCTTGCTAGTCAGTGCAGGAAGGGTATCCAGGAAGAAAGCCAAGGCATCTATGGAGTTGAGCTCATCATTGCCCCTCTCTCAATTCTCTGAGTCTTCGACCATCTCTTGTCCCACATGGAGAAACCATTTCTCCATGTCTTTTGTAGTCGCTCGTGGCAAAAAAAAAAGAATTGGACCTGGGGTGCTCAGACCCAGGATTCACAATCATCTCCCCATCCCTTTGCTTTTCCAGCATCCGTGTCTTTGCTCCTCATCTGCCTTCCTGCCTTGGCTCTTCTCTTGCTGCGAACCCGTATCCCTTCAGGCCACTGGTACTTAAGGTCAAAGTGTTCCCTCTCCCGTTGGGTTACATAGATTGCAAAGAAGAATGCATTTACCTGTCCATAAATAAGCACCTATCTTTCCTCATGAGCCCAGACCAGAAAGGGCAAACACAACCTTCCTTCAGGGTGGAAGTCAGAATAACAGAATTCCAATTGGAAAGTCTTCATTGACCCTTAGTGGGTGTTTGTGGAAGGGAATCTAAGTGTTTGGTTGTTGCCATTCTGACTTTCTTCATAATGTGATGTGCTCGCCTCGGATGTCCTTCTGCTCCATAAAACTAGGAGGAAGGAGAGGCAGCTTAACAGTTCTCTTCTCTCAGACCCTTAGCTCCAAGGCAATCATCCTGAGACATTCTGCTGCGCCATCTTGCATCTGACACCGTTGAGTTCGGAGAACTCGGCAAGCTTACATCTCTTCTAACAGAAACTACAGTTGACCCTTTCTTCTCTTACAGTAAAGAAGAAAAGACATACCCATTTGGGTAGTTTTCTGAGGTCAAACTGAGTGCGGTGTCATGAGCGACCAAGCTTGTAATTTCTTCCTGTCACGGTGGTGAAATGTGTGCCTCGATAACTCTGTCCATTACCGTAGTAGCACTCCTGCACCCCAGGCCTTTGCTCAGTCGGTGCTGAAAGGAAAACAGAAGAAATCAAGGCTGAATATACTCTTAGAACAGAGATACATGTGATACCATGCATGACACAACCAGGAAGGAGTCTGTAAGTGCGACCATACTCTTTTCCTTATCCGTGAGCCGAGGAATGTGAAGAAAACCTGCCAACAAACCAACACCAAACAACAGACTCCTACCATTCTAGAACCGTAGTCAGTTCTTGAAAATGTTCACCTGCAACCTTGGGGAAACAGAACAGATCAGACTGCTCCTCATTTAGAAGAAATGCGCTCACGAGAGCAAGCACCTTTCTGAAACTCTACTGAATGTTCATGGGGAGGATGAGGCAAGATCGAAGCAAAATGCACTGCACTTGGCAATGCGGGCTGCGGGTGGTAATCGGCTGGCAGGACAGAGGTGGGGACAGACATGTTTTCCCTGAACCGTTGTTCATGAAAGCCAGGACTTTAGCTTCTGGGCCATGGGGCAGAAACCAGTCCACTATATCGGCTTAAGGCAACGACAATTTTGCTTCTCAGGGATGTTATGCAGGCCAAAAGCTTATTCCTTTGGAAGAGGGAATCCTCTAGTGCCCCGCCACCCTTAATTGCAATAAAAGGAGCAGCCTACTACTCGTTCTCTCCAGACCCCTCCCAGGCACAAGTGCCATCAGAAGGAGTTTAAGAACACGGAGATATCACTCCCTTCAAAGCCTAGGACTGTAGAGCCTTAGAGCATGGTAAGGCTCCTGGACCTCCACAGACCCAGGAGGCGATATGGAATTAAGGAAGCCCTGTTAGGTTTCTCCAGAGTGAAGGAGCTCCAAAGTCATATTTCTCCCGGAATCTGCAAAATGAAGATTGCACCCAATGCTGTCTACTTGAAGAAATCCTGGAAATGCTTCCTGGCTTGGAAAGAGTCCACACACCTCAGAGCATGTCACAATAAAAATGTTGGCTAAGACACTGAGATAGTCCGTTTTAAACAGGAGTGACTTGTGCAGGCAATCACCCTGGAGGGTTTGGGCCCATCCTAAAGACACAGTCCACCCGTTGCAACACCAGAAATCACTCCTCTGACTCCGCAGAGTGCACGCAGGCTTCCTCCTACATGTGAGACTCAGTCAACACTCAAGCATCCGTGGACCATTGAGCTGCCGCACCTTTAGAATTTCCATGGCTTTCATCCCAGTGTCTAAGCGTGGGTGTCTGGCCACAGGCTCCTTACCTTGTTCGGAAGGAGCCTCTGGGCTTGGAGACCGGGGTGACATTTGGAGGTGCGATGGCAGTCCCTTCTGCATCTGAGCATTGTGTCAGGTTGCAGTATTCCCACCCTGACATTGGAATCCATCGTATAACAATAAGGGGCTGCCACAGGATCTGGATTCCTGCAGTAGTTCCTGATCAAGCCACTGGAAATTCCAAAACCATACATGTCACAAGAGGTGGGACACTGTGCGAGGCACCCCACACCCGCTCCTTTGTGCTGCAACAAGGATGTTCCTAATTGCCTTTCAAATATACCCATTAAAAATACCATATGGTTACCACAAGCACGAATGGCTCTCAATCACTAATCCTCCTGCATTTCTCATACTTAATAGTTATACTATTTTTGTAAATCTAAAGGAGCAAACACTTCCTAGAGACACTGAGATAACGCATACATGTGGCCAAAACATGATCAGACTATTCTCCTTCTACCTGCTGCCCAATCCATCTCTCTGGAATAACTGGTATGCGTTTTGACGCCTGTATTGTGCCATTGTTGATTCACACACAAAAGTATCTGTATCTGTCTAGTTCTGCCTATCTCTCTCGGTAGACCATATTCTAAAGTGGGAGTTGCAGCTAACATGTAGTTCTTCTGAAAACATGGCATCCCAGAAGGACAGCCTTTCCAGGCTAACCTTCATACTATGTACTCAAAACATAATGAAAGGCTCTCGTTTCTTGGGCGCATTGTGCAAATACTGTTACTGTCTGTCATTCTCATATCACATGGAAGTCACGTGGATTTCTTTCTGCACGACTTCTCAAAGCTGCCCTGAAAAATTTTCTCCAGGTCAGAATGCAGTATCTCAAGAATGGGTTCCTGGGCAGGACCTTCTCTCTTGCTCTCAATCTGTCCTCTGCTGGCACAGCCACTCCGGGACTGAGGGAAGCGAATGAGTTGAAAGAACAGTGGGACCCATGGCATCAAGGAAGACGGCAGGGTAGACTAAGAGATCTGAAGAGGTTGGACAGCTACGGAGGAGCAGAAAGCAATGAAAGAAGGGAATAAGCAGGGAGGTTTGGGCTGCAGGGATCTTGGAAGCACATTACGCTCTTCCCTTGTGTACCTCCCAACAACGTTGCTCAACCTCTCACATTCATGACCTGTGGCTGCCTGAGAAAATGGGAAATATATTCCGGGCCATGGAGATCCAACACACTCTCTCTAGAGACTCTACAATTGTGACCTAGTCACCAACCTCAGACCCTCCATTCCAGGAAGCTGGTTTAATCCGTATCTGGATGTATAGAGCCCAGATAACCCGAAAACTTCTTTTTCTTCATGGCTTCCCGCTTTGGAATGCGTGGAATATTCTTATTATAACATAAACCTCAGAGGTCAAAATTTTGTGATTGCTCTAGGATTTGCAATATCCCTTTGAACCCACACAGTAACCTTTTATGAATATTACATACCATCGTGCATGAGATAAGACACGGTAGTACACTTCCAATTGTTACCTGTATGATTTATACTACCTGTTCAAACTGTTACCTCTACATATGCTAAACTTAAACATAGTGCTATCATTCTGCTTCAAGCAGTCAACTCTCATTCAAAAAGACCGGTAGAGATTTGATCAAGAAAATATTTTGCATTTGTCTATCTGCATTTGCAATTGCTGGATTCTACATTACGGGCTGCGAAAGTTCCTTCTTCTATTCTTCTTCCTATGTAATTCCTTTGCAGGTCCACGTCTCTTGTTACATAAGGCTGCTCATTCCAAAGTCTACAGTTTCTGGTTTCTCTGTTTGGGGCAGTGCACAATATGCACATGTCCAACATTGATCGTCATCAAGGCATTTTATTGCTGGATGCAGCATTCTCGGTTGATCCTTCTGGGTCCAGATTATCATTTTAATAATATTCCCTGAGTATCCACTTCCAGTGTTTCTGGGAGTGAACGCATTGTAATTTGTATCACTGTACTTCTAGGAAGACACAGCTCTTTTTCCTCCACTTTCTCTTGAGATGTTTCTTCGTATTATACCTTTGTCTTGTTACCTTCGAACTGTAGTGTACAGAGTACAACACATAGTTTTTCTGTTGTTTTTGTTTCTGAAATTTCCCATGTGATCCCTGAGTTTATTGCCAGAACTGTAATTTTGTCAACGTTCTTCATAATTCGAAAGTTATCAACCATCCTTGATTCGGTACTTGCTTGACTCCAAACTGCTTTTACTCTTTTCTGTGACTTGCTTCCCACATGCAGGGAATCTTTTCATATTTTCCTACATGTCTGTGAGGCTCGGTTGATTTCGTGTTTCACTATTTCTTCAGGGGTGTCCTTGTGTTTGAGAGAACTTGTGATTTTACGTGTGTCCGTGTACAGGTGTGTTTTCAATTTGGGTGTGTGTGTGTAAGTAGTTCTGTAGGTTCTGTAGAATTGCTTTTTGGTTAATTTTTTCTTCTGAAATGTCTAACTTGATCAGGTGGCCATACAGTAATTTTCATTTAAGACCTTACTGTTTTTATGTTAGTTCTTTAATTTGATTTGGCTATTCTATACTGTTAATTTCTCTTGATATGCTATTTGGTTTGTTTCATATTCATTTTTTTAAATATTTGAAATCGGTTGTCACAATGATATGTCAAATTTTCATGTAATTCTAGTCATTTCTGTCATTTCTGAGCTTGTTTGTATTGCCTGATTTTTCTCCTGGTTATGGATCACATGAAATGCTTTCCTCCATGTAGTCAAAGTTTAAATTTAGGACTCACTCTTTTGGAATCTACTCAGACTGAGCCAATTGACTTTCTTGTTTACTTGTAAAGAGACTGGAGTTCCTCTCACTGGCGGTTCATTGACTTGGAAACCGATTTGATGCTTGGACCTCGCTTTTCAGCTATGAAGAGGGTGGGGTTCTCTGCAGCTACCTGTACTCTCGGGAATATATTAATACACTTTAAAATTATGGCTATTTCTGGGGTCTCGGCGGAATTGGCAGCATGTTCTGTGAGGACTCTCCTGTCTGGCTAGCAGAAGCTCTGGTCTCCACAGTGCTATGTGATCTCTGTCTTCTTTATTGGGCCTGCTGTTTCTATATTGTAGTTGCTGTTTCTCCCAGTAAATGTTCTTTTTGCCATCTTTCTTGTGGAACCATTTTCTGTGCACATGCAGCGTCATGTCAGGCCAACAACTGGAGGAGACTTCTTCGCCTGTTTGTAGAGCTCCTTTCCTCCACAAACCAGGTATTATTTCTGGCAGACCTAGAAAGTTTTAGCTACCGGAATCATCCCAAACTCAATCCACTCCCCTGCAGCCCCAATACAGGTGGCTACAGTCTCCTTGGGCTCTATCTCCTTGCTAGTCAGTGCAGGAAAGGAGTATCAGGAAAGAAAGCCAAAGGCATCTGGAGTTAGGCTCATCATTGCCCCTCTCTCAATTCTCTGAGTCCTCTACCATCTCTTGTACCACCTGTAGAAACCATTTCTCCATGTCTTTCATAGTCGCTTGTGGCCAAAAAGTTGGACCTGGGGTGCTCAGACCCAGGATTCTGTCCATCTCCCCATCCCTTTTGCTTTCCAGATCATCTCTTTGCTCACTCTCATCTGCCTTCCTGCCTTGGCTCTTCTCCTGCTGCGAACCCGTATCCTTAGGCCACTGGTGCTTAAGCAGTGTTCCCCTCCCCATTGGAGTTTACATAGACATAGAAAGAGATACATTTAGCTGTCCATAAATAAGCACCTATCTTTCCTCATGAGCCCAGAAAGAAAAGGCAAACACAACCTTCCCTTCAGGAATTGGAAGTCAGAATAACAGAATTCCAATTGGAAAGTCTTCCATTGACCCTTGGTGTGGGTGTTGTGGAAGGGAATCTAAGTGTTTGGTTGTTTGCCATTCTGATTTTCTTCATAATGTGATGTGCTCGCCTCCAGATGTCCCTTCTGCTCCATAAAACTAGGAGGAAGGAGAGGCAGCCCAACAGTTCTCTTCTCTCAGACCCTTAGCTCAAGGCAATCATCCTGAGACATTCTGCTACTCCATCTGCATCTGACACAAGTTGAGTTCAGGAGAACTCAGCGAAGCTGCGTCTCTGCTAACAGAAACACAGTTGACCCTTTCTTCTCTTACGGTAAAGAACAAAGACATACCCATTTGGGTAGTTTTCTGAAAGTCCGACTATGAGGTGCGGTGTCATAGATGACCAAGCTTGGCAGGTTCTTCCTGTCACAGTGGTGAAGTATGTGCCTCGATAACTCTGTCCATTACCGTGTGCCTCTCTGCACCCAGGCCTTTGCTCTGTCGGTGCTGAAAGGAAATCAGAAAAAATCAAGCTGAGTATCTCTGAGAACAGAGATATATGTGGAAAACCACTGATGAAACAATGAGAAGGAATCTATGAGAATTATGACCGTACTATTTTTCTTTATCCGTAGGCTGAGGATATGAAGAAACCAACCAACAAACCAACCCCAAAGCAACAGATTCTAGCATTCTAGAACCCGTGGCCAAGTTCTTGGAGAGCTACCTGAAACCTTAGAGAAGCAGGTAGTCAGAGTGCTCCTCCTTGGAAAGTGTGCTCAGGAGCAAACACCTGTCTACAGGAAACTCTACTACAGATGTTCATGAGGGAAGATGGGGCAGGATCGAGCAAAGAGGCACTGCATTTGGCAATGCGGGCTGCAGGTGGTAATCGGCTGTCGGGACAGAGGCAGGGACAGACTTTTGGGGAAATCTAGCATGTTTCGAGACCGTTCATCCGAAAGCCAAGGTCTTTGGCTTCAGACCCGTAGGCCAGAAAACGGTCCTCTACATCTGACCGAAGCAAAGACACTTTGCTTCTCCAGGGGATATTAATACTGGCCAAAAGCTTATTCCTTTGGAAGTAGAGAGAATTCTCTCGTGTCGCATCCTGGATTGCAATAAAGAGAAGTCTACCTCTTTCTCCAGACCCCTCCCAGGTACAGGTGTCATCCAGAAGAAGAGCTTTAAGAACACGGAGAAATCACTCCCTTCAAAGCCTAGGGCTGCAGAACCTTAGAGCATTGGGAGCTCATGTACTGCTCCACAGACCCAGGGCGATATGGAATTAAGGAAGCCCGGTTAAGTTTCTCAGTCCAGGCTCCAGAGTCATGTTCTCGAAATCTGCAATGCTGAAGATTGCACCGAATGCTGTCTACTTGAAGAAATCCCTAGAAAAGCTTCCTGGGCACACCCTGGGCACACCCTGGAGGGTTTGGGCCCATCCTAAAGACACAGTCCACCACGTTGTACAATCACTCCTTTGGCTCCCCAGAGGGGGTGCACGAGAGCTTCCTCCCCATGACAGAACTCGAGTGAAACACTCCAGCATCAAGTAGGAACATTTGAAAGCTGTTGCATGTTCGGAATTTCCATGAATTTTCATCCAAATCTAGCGTGTAGATGTCTGGCCACGGGCTCCTTTGCTTGCTCGGGAGGAGCCTCTAGGCTTGGAACCGGGGTGACAGTCGGAGATGTGACAGCAGTCCCTTCTGCGTCCTGAGCATTGTCATCAAGTTGCAGTACTCCCACCTGACATTGGGATCCATCGTATAACAATGAGGGCTGCCACAGGATCAGGATTCCTGCAGTAGTTCCTGATCAAGTCACTGAAAATTCTTAAGCGATACATGTACCAAGAGGTGGGACAACATGCAGGGAGCACCCCACACTCTCTCCTTTGTGTAGGAACAAGGTCATTCCTTGTGCCTTTCTAATATACCCATTAAAAGTACCAAATGATTGCCACAAGCACAAGTAAGCTCTCAATCCCTAATTCTCTCTGCACATTTTCTCATACTTAATAGATTATTACGATTCTTTTAAATCTAGCCTAGCAAACGCTTCTTAGAACACTGGATAATACACACATGTGTGCAAAAAGTGATCAGACTATTCTCCTTCTGCCTTCTGCCCAATCCATCTCTCTGGAACTAACTGGTATGGTTGACGTCTGTATTGTGCCATTGTTTATTCACCTACAAAAGTATCTATATCTGTCTAGTTCTCAGTATCTCTCTTGGTAGAGCTTCACATTCTAATGTGGGAATTGCAGCCAACACGTAGTTCTTCAGAGAAAACATGGCATCCAGAAGGATAGCCTTTCCAAGTCAACCACACTATGTACCCAAACGTACTGAAAAGGTTCTATGTTTCACATGGAAAAATGCACTGTGCGAAATACTATTACTGTCTGTCATTCCCATATCACGTCGGTCAAGTAGGTTTATTTTTGCACGACTTCTCAAAGCTACCCTGGAAAATTTGCTCCCAGGCAGGATACAGGTATCTCTAGAATGGGTTCTGGGCAGGACCTTCTCTTGCTCTCAATCTATCCTCTGCTGGCCACAGCCACTCTGGGATCTGAGGGAAGGGGATGGAGTTGAAAGGAACAGTGGGACCCATGGCATAAAGGAATGTACGGCAGGAGTGGACTGAGAGAGAGCTGAAGAGGGTTGGACAGCCATGGAGGAGCAAGCAATGAAGAAGGGGGCAAAGCAGGGGAGTTTGGGCTGTGGGGATCTCATTGAAGCATTTGCGGCTTCCTATCCTCCCAGATGGTTTGCTCCAACCTCTCAGTATCCTCAAAATAATGACCTGCGGCTGCTGAAATGGGAAATGTATTGTAGGCCATGGGGATCCAACACTCTCTCTCTAGAGACTCTACAGTTGTGACCTAGTCTCAACCCCAGACCCTCCATTCCAGGAAGCTGGTTCAATCAGCAACTGGACGTTCCAAACCGAACTCTTGAAGAATTCCTTTTCCTTCATAAGCGTCCTCTTTGGAATGCATGGAATATTCTTATACCATAAACCTCAGAGTTCAAAACTGTGTGATTGTTCTAGGATTCGCAATATCCCTTTGAACCCACACAGTAACCTTTTATTAATATTACATACCATCGTGCATGGAGTAAAAAACTTACAATGGTCCACTTCCAATTATTACCTGAATGATTTATGCTACATGTTCATATTGTTATCTCTACATATGCTAAAGTTAAACATATTGCTATCCTTCTGCTTCAAGTAGTCTACTCTCATTTAAAAGATAGAAATTTGATCAAGAAAATATTTTGCATTTACATCTATCTGCATTTGCCAGTTGCTGGTATCTACATTACATGGGCTGCAGAAAGTTCCCTTCTTCTTCTATTCTTCTACCTAATACCTTTGGGTCACCACCCTTGTATCCTCAAGCCTGCTGATTCCAAAGTCTGGCAGTTTCCACTTTCTTTGTTTGGGGCAGTGCACAATATGCATTTATCAACACAGATCATCTTCAAGGCATTTTATTGCTGAATTCAGCATTCTTGGTTGATCTCTTCTGGTTCCAGATTATCATTTTAATAATATTCCCTGGAACGCGGCTTCCAGTGTTTTTCTGAGAGTAGAGCATTAGCAATTTGTATCCCTCTACTTCTAGGAAGACACATTCCCTTTTTCTTCCAATTTCTCCTGACATGTTTCTTGTGTATAACTTTGCCTGGTTACCTTCGAACTCTGATATACAAAAGTAGAGTACACAGGTTTTTGTGTTTTTCTCCAGAAATTCCCTATTTGATCTAGATTTCACTTGAAACTGTGATTTTTTCAATGTTCTTCACTTCAATTGAAAAGTTATCAACCATCCTTGTTTCCAGTACTTGCTTCCCTCCAAACTCCTTGAGTCTTTCTGTGACACTTCACATTCAAGAAATCTTTTCAAATTTTTCCTACATGTCTGTGAGGCTTGGTTGATTTTATATTTCACTATTTCTTCAGGGGTGTTCTTGTGTGTGTGAGAACTTACGCTTGAGTTTTTGCGTGCGTGCGTGTATGGGTGTGTTTGGATTTGGGTGTGTGTGTGTGTAACTAGTTCTGCAGGTTCTCTAGAATTGTTTTTTGGTTAACTTCTTCTTCTGAAATGTCTAGCAGGCAGGCGGCCATACAGTAATTTTTCATTTAAGACATACTGTTTTATATCAGTTTTTAATTTGATTTCGCTATTCTGTACTGTTAATTTCTCTTGTATCTGGTTGTTTACATATTCATTTTTAAATATTAGAAATCCGTTATCCTTAATACTGATATGTCAAATTTCATCACAATTCTAACCATTTCTGTCATTTCTGAGCTTGTTTGTATTGCCTGATTTATTTCCTGGTCATGGATCACATGAAATGCTTTTCTACATGTAGTCAAATTATAAATTTGGGACTCATTCTGGGGATACCGTGCAGCTGAGCCAATAGACTTCGTTGTTTACCTCGAAGGGAGTTAAAGTTTCCTCTCACAGGCATCCATTGACTTGGAAACCGATTTGATCTTGGACACCGCTTTTCCAGCTATGCAAGCGGCTGTCTGCGGCTGCCTGATATCTAGGAACATATTAATTCCACTTTTAAATCAAGGCTATTCTGGGGTCTCTGGAGTTACAACTTGTTCTGTGAGACTCTCTCATCTGGCTTCATTAAAACTCCAATCTCCCAGAGCGCTATGCTGATCTGTCTTCCTTATGGAGCTTGCTGTTCTCTTGCTTATTTGCTGTTTCTCAGTAAATGTTCTTTCACTTATACTTTCTTGTGGAACAATTTTCTGTGCACATGCACCGTCATGTCAGGCCAACAACTGGAGGAGACTTCTATGTGTTATTTGCAGACTCCTTTCCTCCACAAACTAGAGTCTTATTTGTAGCAGATCTAGAAAATGTTAGCTGCAGAGTCATCCCAAACTCCATCCCTCTCATCCTTCAACCAAGATGGCTACAGTCTGCTTGGATTCATCTCCTTACTAGTTAGTGAAGGAAGGGTACCCAGGAAGAAAGCCAAGGCATCTATGGAGTTAGACTCATGTTGCCCCTCTCTTAATTCTCTAGGTCTCTACATCTCTTGTCCCACACATAGAGAAACCATTTTTATGTCTTTGGTAGTCACTTGCTGGCCAAAAATTGACCACAGGATGCTCAGACCAGGATTCTCTCCATCTACCCGTCATTTGCTTTTCAGCATCGGTCTCCTTGCTGACTCCATCTACCTTCCTCCTTAGCTCTTCTCTTGCCACCAACCTTTATCCTTAAATCCCACTGGTACTTAGGGCTGAGTGTTTCCCTCCCCATTGGAATACATGTGAATATAGAAGGGATACATTTGCCTGTCATACATAAACACATATTCTTTCCTCATTGGCCCAGACAGAAAAGGAAAACACACCCTTCCCTTCAGGAATTAGAAGTCAGAATAACAGAATTCCAATTGGAAAGTCTTCGGTGACCCTTAGTAGGTGTTGTGGAAGGGGAATCTAAGTGTTTGGTCATTTGCCATTCTGACTTTCTTCATAATGTCATCTCTTCGCTCTAGATTTCCCTTCTGCTCCATAAAACTAGGAGGAAGGACAGGCACCTTAAGAGTTCTCTTCTCTCAGACTCACCAGCTCCAAGGCAATCATCCTGAGACATTTTGCTACACCCTCTGAGTCTGACACAAGTTGAGTTCGGAGAACGCAGATTGAAGCACGTCTCTGCTAACAGAAACTTCAGTTGACCCTTTGTTCTCTTCTGATGAGAATATAAACATACCCATTTGGAGGTAGTTTTCTGGGAATCCGACTAGCAAGTGTGGTGTCATAGATGACCAAGCTTGGCAGGTTCTTCCTGTCACAGTGGTGAAGTATGTGCCTGATAACTCTATCCATTACCGTGTAGCCTCCTGCACCCGGGCCTTTGCTCAGTCAGTGCTGAAAGGAAAACGGAAGAAATCAAAAGTCTCATGAAGTCTCCTCCAGTTGTTGGCCAGACATGACGGTGCATGTGCACATGTATCTCTGAGAACAGAGATACATGGCAAACCATGATGACATGACCAGAAAGAGTCTATGAGAATTACGGCCGTACTCTTTTCCTTATCCGTAGAGCAGATGGATGTAGAAAACCAACCCAGCAAACCAACCTCAAAGCAACAGACTCAAACCATTTAGAACCGTAGTAAGTGCTTGAAATATTTCACCTGAAACCTTAGAGAAACAGAACAGATCAGAATGCTTCTCATTGCAAGTGCGCTCACGAGCAAGCATAACTCTTGGAAACTCGATTGAATGTTTACGCGAGGAAGATGGGGCAGGATCGAGCAAAGGGCACTGCATTTGCTTGTGCGGGCTGCAGGTGGTAATGTCGGCTGTCGGGGAGCAGAGATGGGGACAGACAAAATCTTACATGCTCCCGGACCGTTCATCTGACCAAGATCTTTGGCCGGGCCATGGGCCAGAAAAGCAGTCCTCTACATCTGACTGAAGAGCAAGGACACTTTTAGCCTTCTCAGGATGTGCGCAGGCCAAAGCTTATTCCTTTGTAGAAGTAGAGAAAATCCTCTCCTGCTCCGCATCCTGGTGCAATAAACGAAGTCTACTACTCTTTTTCTCCAGACCCCTCCCAGGTACAGGTGCCATCAGAAAGAGCTTTAAGAACACGGAGAAATCACTCCCTTCAAAGCCTAGGGCTGCAGAGCCTTAGAACATTGGGAGCATGCTGCTCCACAGACCCAAGGGCAATATGGAATTAAGGAGCGCTGTTAGGTTTCTCGAGGTCTGAGCTCCAGAGAGTCATATTTCTGGAATCTGCAATGCTGAAGATTGCACCGAATGCTGTCTACTTGAAGAAATCCCTAGAAAAGCTTCCTGGGCACACCCTGGGCACACCCTGGAGGGTTTGGGCCCATCCTGAACACAGCCCACCCACGTTGTGCAGAAATCCTCCACTGGCTCCCCAGAGTGCAGCTCTCCTCCACATGACAGAACTCAGTGAACACTCCAGCATCCGTGGAACATTGAAGGCTATTTGCATCAGTCGGAATTTCCATGGATTTTCATCTAGCGTCTAAGCGTGTAGATGTCTGGCCACAGGCTCCTTACCTTGCTCAGAAGGAGCCTCTAGGCTTGGAACCGGGGTGACAGTCGGAGATGTGACAGCAGTCCCTTCTGCGTCTGAGCATTGTGTCAGGTTGCAGTACTCCCACCTGACATTGGGATCCATCATTATAACAATGAGGGGCTGCCACAGGATCGGGATTCCTGCAGTAGTTCTGATCAAGTCACTGAAAATTCCAAAAACGATACATGTCACAAGAGGTGGGACAACATGCAGGGGCACCCCACACTCTCTCCTTTGTGTAGGAACAAGGTCATTCCTTGTGCCTTTCTAATATACCCATTAAAAGTACCAAATGATTGTCACAAGTACAAATGGCTCTCAATCTCTTGTTCTCTCTGCACATTTCTCATACTTAGTAGATTATTACGATTCTTTTAAATCTAGCCTTGCAAACGCTTCTTAGAGACACTGAGATAATACACACATGTGGCCAAAAAGTGATCAGACTATTCTCCTTCTGCCTTCACCCAATCCATCTCTCTGGAATAACTGGGTATGGATTTTGGCGTCTCATGTTATTGCCATTGTTTATTCACCTGCAAGGTATCTATATCTGTCTGATTCTCAGTATCTCTCTTGTTAGAACTTCACATTCTAATGTAGAATTGCAGCCAACACGTAGTTCTTCAGAGAAAACATGGCATCCAGAAGGATAGCCTTTCCAGAATCAACCACACTGTACCAAAACGTACTGAAAAGGTTCTATGTTTCACATGGAAATGCACTGTGCGAATACAAGTACTGTCTGTCATTCCCATACCACGTCGTTCAAGTAGGTTTATCTTTGCACGACTTCTCAAAGCTGCCCTGGAAAACTTGCCCCAGGCAGGATACAGTATCTCTAGAATGGGTTCCTGGGCAGGACCTTCTCTCTTGCTCTCAATCTATCCTCTGTAGCCACAGCCACTCTGGGACTGAGGGAAAGGGGATGAGTTGAAAGAACAGTGGGACCCATGGCATAAAGGAATACGGCAGGGTGGACTGAGAGAGCTGAAGAGGTTGGACAGCCATGGAGGAGCAGAAAACAATGAAGAGGGCAAAGCGGGGAGGAGTTTGGGCTGTGGGGATCTTGAAACATTCGTGCGCTCCCTATGCCTCCCAAGAAGGTTGCTCCAACCTCTCAGCATCCTCAAAATGACATAAGCTGCCTGAAATGGGAAATGTATTATGGGCCATGGGGATCCAACACTCTCTCTCTAGAGACTCTACAGTTGTGACCTAGTCTCAACCCCAGACCCTCCATTCAGGCTTCGTTCAGTCAGCAACTGGATGTTTGAAACCCGAACTCTTGAAAGAATTCTTTCCTTCCTTGGCGTCCCTCTTTTGGAGATGCTGGAATATTCTTATGCCATAAACCTCAGAGTTAAAACTGTAGCAGTTGTTTATAGGATTCGCAATATCCATACGAACCCACACAGTAACCTTTTATTAATATTACATACCATTGTGCATGGAGTAAGAAACTTATAATGGTCCACTTCAATTGTACCTGCATGATTGTGCTACATGTTCAAATTCTTACCTCTACATATGCTAAAGTTAAACATATTGTTATCATTCTGCTTCAAGTAGTCTACTCTCATTTAAAAAGATATAGAAATTTGATCAAGAAAATATTTTGCATTTACATCTATCTGCATTTGCCAGTTGCTGGTATCTACATTACATGGGCTGCAGAAAGTTCCCTTCTTCTTCTATTCTTCTTCTGTCTAATACCTGCAGGTCACCACTCTTGTCACATAAGCCTGCGGATTCCAAAGTCTGGCAGTTTCCAGTTTCTTTGTTTGGGGCAGTGCACAATATGCATCTATCCAACACAGATCATCTTCAAGGCATTTTATTGCTGGATTCAGCATTCTTGGTTGATCTCTTCTGGGTCCAGATTATCATTTTAATAATATTCCCTGGTGTGCGACTTCCAGTGTTTCTGAGGTGAACCATTGTGATTTGTATCCCTCTACTTCTGGGAAGACACAGCCCTTTTTCTTCCAGTTTCTCCTGAGATGTTTCTTCGTATTATGCCTTTTGCCATTACCTTCGAACTGTGGGTACAGAGTACAGCACACAGGTTTTTTTATTGTTTTTTTTTTTCTTCTGGATTTCCCTAATTGTTCCATAGAGTTTCGCCCAGAACTGTGATATTTTCAATGTTCCTCATAACTGAACAGTTATCAACCATTCTTGATTCCGGTACTTGCTTCTACTCCAAACTCCCTTGCTCTTTCTGTGACTTCTGTCCCACATGCAGAAAATCTTTTCATATTTCCTACATGTCTGTGAGGCTTTATTGATTTCGTATTTCACGCTATTTCTTCAGGGTTGTCCTTGTGTGTGAGAGAACTTGTGAGTTTTTGCATGTGTCCGTGTACGGGTGTGTTTTGAATTTGGGTTTGTGTGTGTAGCTAGTTCTGCAGGTTCACCAGCCGTTTCTTTTTTGGTTAATTTTTTCTTCAGAAATATCTAACTTGAGCAAAGAGCCATGCAGTAACTTTTCATCTAAGACATACATTTTTAATACTAGTCAGCTGATTTGATTTCGCCTATTCTATACTGTTAATTTCTCTTGATATGATATCTGGTTTGTGCATATTCTTTTAAACATTTGAAATCCGTTATCATACCGATATGTCAAATTTTCATGCAATTCTAATCTTTTCCGTCATTTCTGAGCTTGCTTGTACTTCGGTTATTTGGTCATGACACGGCAGCTTTTCTACATGTAGTCAAATTTTAAATTTAGGACTCACTCTGCGGATACCACATAGCTGAGCCAATTGACTTTCTTGTTTACTTGTAAAGAGAGTTGAGATTTCCTCTCACAGGCAGTTCATTGACTTGGAAACCGATTTGATGCTTGGACACTGGCTGTTCAGCTATGCAAGCGGCAGTCTGCAGCTGCCTGATTTCTAGGAATATACTAATTCCACTTTTAATTCAAGGCTGTTCAGGGTCTCACTGAATTGGCAACGTGTTGTGAGACTCTCTGGTCTAGCTGGTAAGAACTCCGATCTCCTGAGTGTTATCTTGAGCTCCGTCTTCTTTATTGAGCTTGCTGTTCTCTTCTGGTTGCTGTTTCTCAGTAAATGTTTCTTTTGCTATACTTTCTTGTGGAACCATTTTCTGTGCATGCAGCATCATGTCAAAGGCCAACAACGACTTCTATGCGTATTTGCAGAGCTCCTTTCCTCCACAAACTAGGTCTTATTGGTAGCAGACCTGAAAGTATCCAGCTATCAGAGTCATCCCAGAGCTCCAATCCCTCTCCCACTCCCTTCAACCAGATGGCTACAGTCTGCTTGGGCTCCATCTCCTTGCTAGTCAGTGCAGGAGGGTATCCAGGAGAACAAAGCCAAGGCATCTATGGAGTTGAGCTCATCATTGCCCTCTCTCTCATTTTCTCTGGAGTCCTCTGCATCTCTTGCATCCCACATGGGGAAACCATTTTTCCATGTCTTTGCTTGATCACTTGTGGCCAAAATTGTATGGGCTGCTCAGACCCACACTTCCTGTCCATCTACACGTCCCTTTTACTTTTCAGCATCCATCTCTTTGCTGACTTTCATCTGCACCTCCTGCCTTGGCTCTTCTCTTGCCACCAACCTGCTTATCCCTTCAGGCCACTGGTACTTAGAATAGAGTGTTTACCTCAACATTGGAATATACCACAAAGTATGAAAAGAGATACATTTGCCTGTCGATACATGGCATATTCTTTCCTCATTGGCCAGACAGAAAAGGAAAACACAAACTTCCCTTCAGGAATTAGAAGTCAGAATAACAGATTTCCAATTGGAAAGTCTTCATTGACCCTTAGTGGGTGTTGTTGGAAGGGGAATCTAAGTGTATGGTCGTTGTCATTTCTGACTTTCTTCATAATGTGATGTCCTCATATCCAGACGTTCCTTCTGCTCCATAAAACTAGGAGGAAGGAGGAGGCGAAGCAACAGTTCTCTTCTCTCCAGACCCTTAGCTTCAAGGCAATCATCCTGAGTCATGTTTGCTGTGCCATCTGCGTCTGACACAAGTTGAGTTCAGAGAACTCAGCTTGAAGCACGTCTCTTCAACAGAAACTGATTGACCCTTTCTTCTCTTACAGTAAAGAACAAAGACATACCCATTTGGGTAGTTTTCTGAAGTCCGACTGAGTGCGGTGTCATAGATGATGACTTGTAGTTCTTCCCATGTCACAGTGGTAGAAGTATGTGCCTCGATAGCTCTGCCCATTACCGTGGTAGCACTCCTGCACCCCAGGCTTTTGCTCAGTTGGTGCTGAAAGGAAAACAGAAGAAATCAAGCTGAGTATCTCTGAGAACAGAGTAACATGTGAAGCCACTGATGACATGACCGGAAAGGAGTCTGTAGGAATTACGACATTGCTCTTTTCCTTATCCATAGGCCGAGGATGTAGAAAGCAAACCAACAAACCAACATCAAAGCAACAGACTCCTACCATTCTAGAACCGTAGTAAGTTCTTGGAAATATTTAACCTGAAACCTTAGAAACCGAACAGATCAGACTGCTCCACAGTAAAGTGCGCTCACGAGTAAGCACCTTTCTAGAAACTCTATTGAATGTTTCTGAGGAATATGGGGCAGGATCGAGCAAAGGAGCACTGCATTTGGCAATGTGGGCTGCAGGTGGTAATCGGCAGTCAGGGGTAGACGGGGACAGGCATAGAAATCTTGCATGTTTCCGGGCGTTGATCATGAAGCCAAGGCCTTTGGCTCGGGCCATGGGGCAGAAAGCAGTCCACTCTACATCTGACTGAAGGCAAGACACTTGCTTCTCAGGGATGTGTGCAGGCCAAGCTTACTCCTCTGGGGAGAATCCTCTCATTGCCCCATATCCTGAATTGCAATAAACGAGAAGTCTACTACTCTTTCTCTCCAGACCCCTCCCGGGTACAGGTGCCATCAGAAAGAGCTTTAAGAACACGGAAGTACTCCCGCTGACCTGAGGCTGCAGAGCCTTAGAGCATTGGGAATTCATGTACTGCTCCACAGACCCTGGGCGATATGGAATTAAGGAAGCCCTATTAGGTTTCTCGAGGTTCACAGGCTCCAGAGTCATATTTCTCAGAATCTGCAATGCTGAAGATTGCACCGAATGCTGTCTACTTCAAGAAATCCCTAGAAAAGCTTCCTGGGAACACACTGGGCACACCCTGGAGGTTTGGGCCCATCCTAAAGACACAGCCCACCCACGTTGTACAGGGAAATCACTCCGCTGGCTCCCAGAGGTACACAGAGGCTTCCTCCTACATGACAGAACTCGGTCAACACTCCAGCATCCTTGGAACATTGAAAGCTGCTGCATCGGTAGATTTCCATGGCTTTTCATCCCAGCGTCTAGGCGTGTAGATGTCTGGCCACAGGCTCCTTACCTTGCTGGGAAGGAGCCTCTGGGCTGGAACCGGGAGTGACCTTGATCGGAGATGTGACAGCAGTCCCTTCTGCGTCTGAGCATTGTGTCAGGTTGCAGTACTCCCACCTGACATTTGGGATCCGTAGTATAACAATAAGGGGCTGCCACAGGATCTGGATTCCTGCAGTAGTTCTTGATCAAGCCACTGGAAATTCCAAAGGGATACATGTCACAAGAGGAATTAGGACAATATGCAGGGGCACCCACCCTCTCCTTTGTGCGGCAACAAGGTCATTGCAGTGCCTTTCTAATATACCCATTAAAAGTACTATGCTGATTGCCACAAGCACAAATAGCTCTCAATCCTAATCCTCCCTGCACCTTTCTCATACTTAATAGATAATTATGATTTTTTTTTTTTTTTTTTTGAATCTAAAAGTAGGAATTGCTTCTTAGAGACAATGTGACATAAATACACACACGTGGCCAAAACATGATCAGACTATTCTCATTCTGCATTCTGCCCAATCCATCTCTGGAATAACTGAGTATGGATTTTGACGTCTGTATTATTGCCATTGTTTATTCACATAGAGAAATATCTGTATCTGCTCTAGTTCTCGAGTATCTCTCTTGGTAGGACTTCATATTCTAATGTAGAATTACAACTAACACATAGTTCTTCAGAAAAACATATCATCCAGAAGGATAATACCTTTCAGGTCAACCTTCACACACTATGTACCCAAAATGTACTGAAAAGGCTCTACGTTTCTGAGGCTTACTGTGCAAATACTATTAGTGCCTGTCATTTCCCATGTAAGTGAGTCAAGTAGGTTTATTTCTGCACGATTTCTCAAAGCTGCCCCGCAAAATTTGCTCCCAGGCAGGATGCAGTATCTCTAGAATGGGATCCTGCGAAGGACCTTCTCTCTTGCTCTCAATCTATCCTCTGCTGGCCACAGCCACTCCGGGACTGAAGGAAAGCGGATGAGTTGAAAGAACAGTGGGACCCATGGCATCAAGGAAGATGGCAGGTAGGCTAAGACATCTGAAGACGTAAGGACAGCTATGGAGATGCAGAAAGCAATGAAGAAGGGCAAAGCGGAGTGGGGAGTTTAGACTCTGCGGGGATCTTGAAGCATTCGCTCTTGTATGCCTCCCAAGAACATTGCTCCAACCTCTCTCAGTATCCTCACATTCATGACCTGTGGCTGCCTGAGAAAATGGGAAATATGTTCTGGGCCATAGGGATCCCAACACTCTCTCTAGAGACTCTACAACTGTGACCTAGTCTCCCAACCTCAGACCCTCCATTCCAGGAGGCTGGTTCAGTCAGCAACTGGAGCTATAAACCCAGCGAGCTCTTGAAAGACTTCTTTTTCTTCCTTCGCTTCCTCTTTGGAATCGTGGGATATTCTTATTATAACATAAACCTCCAGAGGTCAAAACTTTGCGATTGCTCCAGTTGCAATATCCTTTGAACCCAAACAGTAGCCTTTTATTAATATTACATACCATCGTGCATGAGGAAAGACACGGTGGTACACTTTAATTATTACCTGCATAATTTCGCTACATGTTCAAATTGTTACCTCTACATATGCTAAGCTTAAACATAGTGCTATCATTCTGCTTCAAGCAGTCAACTCTCATTCAAAAAGACATAGAAATTTGATCAGAAAATATTTTCATTTATCTATCTACGTTTGTGAAGTGCTGGATTTTACATTATGTGGGCTGCAGAAATTTCCCTTCTTCTTCTATTCTTCTTCTATCTAATTCCTTCGGGTCACATCTCTTGTTACATAAGGCTGCTCATTCCAAAGTCTGGCAGTTTCTGGTTTCTCTGTTTGGAGCAGTACACAATATGCATTTATCAACATAGATCATGTCAAGGCATTTTATTGCTGGATGCAGCATTCTCAGTTGATCTCTTCTGGTTCCAGATTATCATTTTAATAATATTCCTGGCATCCGGCTTCCAGTGTTTCTGAGGTAGACGCATTAGCAATTTGTATCACTGTGCTTCTGGGAAGACCTGGCTCTTTTCCTCTACTTCTCCTGAGATGTTTCTTCGTATTATGCCTTTGCCTTGTAACCTTCGAACTGTGATGTACAGAAGTACAAAACACACGGTTTCTTCTGTTTGTTTGTTTCTAAAATTTCCTATTTGATCCCTAGAGTTTCATGTGACTGTGATTTTGTCAACGTTCTTCATGGTGAAAAATTACCAGCCATCCTTGATTCTGGTACTTCGACTCAAACTGCCTTGCTCTTTTCTGTGACTTGCTTCCACATGCAAGAAATCTTTTCATGTTTTCCTACATGTCTGTAGCAGAGCTCAGTTGATTCGTATTCACCCTATTACTTCAAGGTGTCCTTATGTAGAGAGAACTTGTGAGTTTGACGTGTCCGTGTGCGGGTGTGGTTTGAATTTGGGTGTCTGTGTGTGGCAACTGGTTCTGCACGTTCTGTAGAATTGCTCTTTGGTTAATTTTTTCTTCTGAAATGTCTAACCCAGTCAGGTGGCCATACAGTAATTTTTCATTTAAGACATACTGTTTTTATATTAGTTCTTTAATTTGATTTATTTCTCTATACTGTTAATTTCTCTTCATGCAATATCTGGTTTGTTTCATATTCATTTTTTAAATATTTAAAATCAGCTGTCATACTGATATGCCAAATTTTCATGCAACTCTAATCATTTCTGTCATTTCTTAGATCATTTGTATTGCCTGATTTCTCTCCTCGTTATGGATCACACGAAACACTTTCCTACATGTAGTCAAGGTTTAAAAAATTAGGACTCCTCTTAGGATACCTCATAGCTGAGCCAGGTGTGGCTTTCTTGTTTACCTGTAAAGAGACTTGATTTCCTCTCACTGGCAGTTCATTGACTTGGGAAACCGATTTGATGCTTGGACACTCGCTTTTCAGCTATGCAAGGAGTTGTCTGCAGCTGCCTGTATTTTAGGAAAATATTAATGCCATTTTTAAATTATGGCTGTTCTGGGGTCTCCACGGAATTCACAACGTGTTCTGTGAGGACTCTCTCATCCTTCAGTAGAACTTCAGTCTCCCCACAGTGCTATGTGATCTCTGTCTTCTTTATTGAGCTTGCTGTTCTCTTGAAGTTGCTGTTTCTCAGTAAATGTTCTTTGCCATACTTTCTTGTGGAACCATTGTCTGTGCACATGCAGCGTCATCTCAGACCAACAACTGGAGGAGACTTCTACGTGTATTTGTAGAGCTCCTTTCCTCCACAAACCAGGTCTTATTTGTAGCAGACCCTAGAAAGTTAAACTACCAGAGTCATCCCAAGCTCCAATCCCTCCCTACCTTCACCAAGATGGCTACAGTCTGCTTGGGCTCCATCTCCTTGCTAGTCAGTGGGAAGCGTTTCCAGGAAGAAAGCCAAGGCATCCATGGAGTTGAGCTCATCATTGCCCCTCTCTCAATTCTCTAAGTCCCCTACCATCTCTTGTCCCACATGGAGAAACCATTTCTCCACATGTCTTCAGTGTCATTGTGACCAAAAGAAATTGGCCCTTGGGTGCTCAGACCCAGGCTTCTGTCATCTCCATCCCTTTTTGCTTTTCCCAGCATCTGTCTCTTTGTTCTTGCATCTGCCTTCCTGCCTTGGTTCTTCTCTCTTGCTGCGAGCCACGTATCCCTTCAGACACTGGTACTTAAGGTCGAGTGTTTCCCTCCCCATTGGAGTTTACATAGATGTAGAGAGAGGTACATTTACCTGTCCATAAATAAGCAACTATCTTTCCTCATGAGCCCAGACAGAGAAATAAACACAACCTTCCTTCAGGAATTGGAAGTAAAGGAATAACAGAATTCTCATTGGAAAGTCTTCATTGACCCTTAGTGGGTGTTGCGGAAGGGTAATCTAAGTGTTTGGTCATTTGCGATTCAGACTTTCTTCGCCAATGTGATGTCCTTGCCTCCAGATTTCCCTTCTGCTCCATAAAACTAGGAGGAAGGAGAAGCAGCTTAACAGTTCTCTTCTCTCAGACCCTTAGCTCCAAGGCAATCATCCTGAGACATTTGCTGCACCATCTCGTCTGACTAGAGATTGAGATTCAGAGGAAACTCAACTTGGCTGTCTCTTCCCCTAACAAGAAACTTCAATTGACCTTTCTTCTCTTACAGTAAAAGGAAGAGAGCCTTGCCCATTGGGTAGTTTTCTGGGGTCAAACTGTAGTGTGGTTTCATGAACTGACCAAGCAACGAGTTCTTCCTGTGACAGTGGTGAAGTATGTGCCTCGATAACTCTGTCCATTACCGTGGTAACCTCTCCTGCACCCAGGCTTTTGCTCAGTCAGTGCTGAAGGAAAACAGAAATCAGAAGCTGAGTATCTCTGAGAACAGAGATACATGTGAAACCACTGATGATGCAACCAGAAAGGAGTTTATGAGTCACGGCCGTACTCTTTTCCTTATCTAGGCCGAGGGATGTGAGAAAACCGAACAACAAACCAACACTAAAGCAACAGATTCCTACCATTCTAGAACTGTAGTCAGTTCTTGGAAATATTTCACCTGTAACCTGAGAGAAACAGAACAACTCAGACTCCTCCTCATTGGAAAGTGCACTCACGAGCAAGCACCGTTCTGAGAAACTCTACTGAATGTTCATCAGGAAGATTGGGTAAGATCGAGCAAAGGGCACGCATTGGGCAATACGGGCTACAGGTAGTAATCGGCTGTATCCAGAGACAGAGGCGAGAAAGACATGGAAATTTTGCACGTTTCCTAGACCATTGTTCATGAAAGCCAAGGCCTTTGTCCGAACCGTAGAATGACAGTCCTCTATCTGACTGTAGGCAACGACACTTTGCTGCTTCTCAGGGATGTCTGCAGGCCAAAGCTTATTCCTGTGGAGGAAAGTCCTCTCGTGCCCGGCATCCTGAATGACAATAAAGGAGAAGCCGACTACTCGTTCCCTCCAGACCCCTCCAGTGCAGTGCCATCAGAAGGGTTTAAGAACACTGAAATCACTCCCTTCAAAGCCTAGGGCTGCAGAGCCTTAGAAACATTAGAGGAGCTCATGTGCTGCTCCCACAGACCCAGGGCGATATGGAATTAAGGAAGCCCTGTTAGGTTTTCTCAGGGCGACAGGCTCCAGTCATATTTTCAGGATCTGCAATGCTGAAGATTGCACCCAATACCCAATGCTTGTCTGTGGAAAGTGCGAGTAATAAGCCGGCTGGAAAGAGTCCCTTTTACCTCAGGCATGTCACAATGCAGCTAAGACATGAGATGATCCATTTTACAACAGGGTGACTTGTGCAGGCGATCACCCTGGAGGGTTTGGGCCCATCCTAAAGGACACAGCCCGCCACGTTATGCAGAAATCACTCCACACAGCTTCCCCAGAAAGTGCATGAGCTTCCTCTACATGGCAGAACTCAGTCAACACCCGAACATCCATTGAACCACTGAAAACCGCCTTTGCCTTTCAAATTTCCATATTTTCATCCAGAGTCTAAGCGTGCGCGGGTGTCTGGCCACAGGCTCCTTACGCAGTGGAAGGAGCCTCTAGGCTTGGAACCAGGGAGTGACATTTTGGAGGTGCGATGGCAGTCCTTCACCAGGTCTGAGCATTGTGTCAGGTTGCAGTACTCCCACTGACATTGGGATCCATCGTATAACAATGAGGGCTGCCACAGGATCTGGATTCCTGCAGTAGTTCCTGATCAAGCCACTGGAAATTCCAAAACCATACATGTCACAAGAGGTAGGACACTATGCATGACACCCCACCCTCTCTCTTTGTGCAGGAACAAGGTCGTTGCTGGTACCTTTCCCAATATACCCCATTAAAAGTACCATATGATTGCCACAAGCACGAATAAAACCTCCAATCACCTAATCCTCTCTGCATTTCTCATACTTAATAGATTATTACTATTTCTGTAAATCTAAAAGACAAACGCTTCCTAGAGACACTGAGATAAATGCATACACGTAGCCAAAAGCATAGTCAGACTATTTCTCCTTCTACCTTCTTACTTTGCCCAATCCATCTCTCTGGAATAACTGGTATGCATTTTGACGTCTGTATTGTGCCATTGTTGATTCACACACAAAAGTATCTGTATCTGTCTAGGTCTGTATCTCACTGGTGAGACTTCATATTCTAAAGTGGGGTTACGGCTAACGTGTAGTTCGAGAAACCCCTTGGTATCCAGAAGGACAGCCTTTCCAGTCAACCTTCCATACTCATGTACTCAAAGCCTGAGTGAAAAGGCTCTACGTTTCACGTGGAAGCGCATCGTGCCAAATAATATTACTATCTGTCATTCTCATATCATGTGCGTCAAGTAGGTTTCTTTCCACACGACTTCTCAAAGCTGCCCTGAAAAATTTTCTCCCAGGCAGGATGCAGTGTATCATAGAATGGGTTCTGGGGACATTCTCTCTTGCTCTCAATCTATCCTCTGCTGACGCAGCTACTCGGGGACTCGAGGAAAGCAGATGAGTTGAAAGAACAGTGGGAACCATGGCATCAAGGAAGGCGGCAGGAGTAGATTAAGAGATCCACAGAAGAGGTCAGACCAGCTACGGAGGAGCAGAAAGCAATGAAGAAGGGCAAAGCAGAGGAGGAGTTTGGGCTGCAGGGGATCTTGAAGCAGTCGCTCTTCCTTATGCCTCCCAAGAACGTTGCTGCAGCTCTCAGTATCCTCACATTCATGACCTGTGGCTGCCTGAGAAAATGGGAAATGTATTCTGGGCCATGGGGATCCAACACTCTCTCTCTAGAGACTCTACAACTGTGACCTAGTCTCAACCTCAGACCCTCCATTCCAGGAAACTGGTTCAATCCGCAACTGGATGTATAAGAGCCTAAGCTCTTGAAAGACTTCGTTTTCTTCCATGGCTTCCCGCTTTGGAATGCATGGAATATTCTTATTATAAGTAAAACTCCAGAGTCAAAACTTGCCGATTTGCTCTAGGATTTGCAATATCCCTTTGAACACACAGTAACCTTTTATTAATGTTACATACCATCGTGCATGAGGTAAGACACAGTGGTACACTTCCAATTATTACCTGCATGATTTATGCTACCTGTTCAACCTGTTACCTCTACATATGCCTAAGCTTAAACATGGTGCTATCATTCTACTTCAGGCAGTCAGCTCCTCATTCAAAAAAGACATAGAAATTTGATCAAAGAAAATATTTTGCATTTACATCTATCTGCATTTCACAGTGCTGGATTCTACATTATATGGGCGCAGAAAGTTCCCTTCTTCTTCTATTCTTCTTCTATCTAATTCCTTCGGGTCACATCTCTTGTTACATAAGGCTGCTCATTCCAAAGTCTGGCAGTTTCCGGTTTCTTTGTTTGGGGCAGTGCAATATGCATTATCCAGCATAGATCGTCATCAAGGCATTTTATTGCTGGATGCAGCATTCTCGGTTGATCTCTTCTGGTTCCAGATTATGTTTGTAATATTCCCTGGCATCCGGCCAGTGTTTCTGGGGTGAGCATTAGCAATTTGTATCACTGTATTTCTAGGAAGACAGCTCTTTTTCCTCCACTTTCTCCGGAGAAGTTTCTTCGTATTATGCCTTTGCCTTATTACCTTCCGAACTGTGATGTACAGAAGTACAACACACACAGTTTTTCTGTTTGTTTGTTTCTTTCCTGAAATTTCCTATTTGATCTAAGTTTCATGAAACGGTGATTTTGTCAAGCGTTCTTGTAATTCGAAAAAGTTATCAACCATCCTTGATTCAGTGCCTCCGACTCCAAACTGCTTTGCTCTTTTTTCTGTGACTTGCTTCCACATACAAGAAATTTTTCATATTTTCCTACATGTCTGTGGGCTCAGTTGATTTCATGTTTCACTTTCTTGATGTATTGTGTGTGGCGCTGTAGAATTTTACGTGTATCCATGTAGAGGTATGTTTTGAATTTAGGTGTGTGTGTGTAGTAGTTCTGTGAGTTCTGGAGAATTGCTTTTTGGTTAATTTTTTCTTCGGAAATGTCTAGCGATAAGGTGGCCATGCAGTAATTTTCCATTTAAGACATACTGTTTTTATATTAGTCCTTTAATTTGATTTGGCTATTCTATACATAAATTTTCTCTTGATATGACATCTGGGTTTCATTCATTTTTTTTAATTATTTGAACTCGGTTGTCATGCAGATATCAAATTTTCATGCAATTCTAATCATTTCCTGTCATTTCTGAGCTTGTTTGTATTTGCCTGATTTCTCTCCTGGTTATGGATCACACAAAATGCTTTCCTCCATGTAGTCAAAGTTTAAAATTAGGACTCACTCTTGGGATACCTCATGGCTAGGCCAATTGACTTTCTTGTTTACTGGTAAAGAGACTTGAGATTTCCTCTCACTGGCAGTTCATTGACCAAAACCGATTTGATGCTTGGACACTCGCTTTTCCAGCTATGAAAGGGGTTGTCGGCAGCTACCTGTATTCTCAGAATATAGTAAATACCACTTTTAAATTATGGCAGTTCTGGGAGTCTCCACAAAAATGCTTGTGTTCTGTGAGGACTCTCTCATCTAGCTGGTAAGAACTCCAGTCTCCCACAGCGCTATGTGATCTCTGTCTTCTTTATTGAGCTTGCTGTTCTCAGCGTGGTGCTGTTTCTCAGTAAATGTTCTTTGCCATACTTTCTTGTGGAACCATTGTCTGTGCACATGCAGCGTCCTGTCAGGCCAACAACTGGAGGAGACTTCTTTGCGTATTTGCAGAGCTCCTTTTCTCCACAAACCAGGTCTTATTTGTAGGAGACCTAGAAAGTTTTAGTTACCAGAGTCATCTAAACTCCAGCCTCCTACCTTCAGCAAGATGGCTACAGTCTCCTTTAGGCTCCATCTCCTTGCTAGTTAGTGCAGGAAGAAGAGGTATCCAGGAAGAGAAAGCCAAGGCATCTATGGAGTTGAGCTCATCATTCCCCTCTCTCAATTCTCTAGGTCCTCTACCATCTCCTGTCCCACATGGAGAAATTATTTCTCCATATCTTTGTAATCCTTTCCTTCAAAAATTGGAACTCAGGTACTCAGACCCAGGCTTCTGTCCATCTCCACATCGCTTTTGTTTTTCACCATCCGTCTCTTTGCTCCTCCTCATCTCCTTCCTGCCTTGGCTCTTCTCTTGCTGTGAACCCATGTCCTTCAGGTCACTGGTACTTAAGACCTAGTGTTTCTCTCCCCATTGGAGTTTACATAGATGTAGAAAGAGATACATTTACCTGTCCATAAATAAGCACCTAGCTTTCCTCATGAGCCCAACAGAAAAGAGCCAAACCACAGCCTTCCCTTCAGGAATTGGAAGTCAGAATAACAGAATTCCAGATTGGAAATTCTTCATTGACCCTTAGTGGGTGTTGTGGAAGGGAATCTAGTGTTTGGTCGTTTGCCATTCTGACTTTCTTCATAATGTGATGCCCTCACCTCCAGATTTCCCTTCTGTTCCATAAAACTAGGAGGAAGGAGAGGCAGCTTAACAGTTCTCTTCTCTCAGACCCTTAGCTCCCAGGAGCAATCATCCTGAGACATTCTGCTACGCCATCTTAATCTGACACAAGTTGAGTTCGGAGAACTCAGCAGAAACACATCTCTTCTAACAGAAACTTCAGATGACCCTTTCTTCTCTTACGATAAAGAACAAAGACATACCCATTTGGGTAGTTTTCTGGGAATCGACTGAGGTGCGGTGTCATGAACTGACCAAGCTTAGCAGGTTCTTCCTGTCACAGTGGTGATGTGTGCCTCGATAACGCTCTGTCCGTTACCGTGGTATGCTCCTTGCTGCCCCAGGCCTTTGCTCAGTCAAGTGCACTGAAAAGGAAAACAGAATAAATCAAGCTGAAGTATCTCTGAGAACAGAGATACATGTAATCTCCTGGATGACACAACCAGGAAGGAGTTTATGAGAGTCTGACAAGTACTCTTTTCCTTATCAGTAGGCTGAAGAATGTGAAAAACCACCCAACAAACCAACACAAAGCAACAGATTCTAGCAATCTAGAACAGTAGTAAGTTCTTGTAGAAATATTTCACCTACAATCTTAGGGGAAACAGAACAGATCAGACCTTTCCTCATTGGAAAGTGCACTCACGGTAAGCACCTTTCTGGGAAACTCTGAATGTTCATGGGGAGGATGGGGCAGGATCGAGCAAAATACACTGCACTTGGCAATGCGGGCTGCAGGTGTGTGGCTGTCGGGGGGCAGGGGCAGGGACAGACACGGAAATCTTGCATGCTTCCCAGGACGTTCATCCTGAAAGCCACCGAGGCCCGGCTTCCGGGCCATGGGCCAGAGAGCAGTCCTCTACATCTGACTGAAGGCAAAGACACTTTTAGCTTCTCAAGGATGTGGCAGGCCAAAGCTTATTCCTTTGAAGTAGAGGGAATCCTCTCATGCCCCACATCTGAATTGCAATAAACGAGAAGTCTACTCTTTCTCAGGCCCCTCCCAGGTACAGATGCCATCAGAAAGAGGCTTTAGAGCACGGAGAAATCACTCCCCTTTAAAGCCTGGGGCTGCAGAGACCTTAGAGCATTAGGATATAAGTAGCCGCTCATTTTAGCTTGGATCCGGGCGATGTGGAATTGAGGAGCGCTGTTGGGTTTCTCGAGGTCCAGGCTCCAGAGTCATGTTTCTCCAAAATCTGCAATGCTGAAGGGTGCACCGAATGCTGTCTACTTCAAGGAAATCCCTAGAAAAGCTTCCTGGGCACACCTGGGCACACCCTGGAGGGTTTGTGCCCATCCTAAAGACACAGCCCACCCACGTTGTACCAGAAATCACTCCCCTAGTTCCCCCAGAGACTTCACAGAGACGTCTTCCACATGACAGAACTCATTGAACACTCCAGCATCAAGTGATGGAACATTGAAAGCTGTTGCATCGATCGGGAATTTCCATGGCTTTTCATCCAGCGTCCTAAGCGTGTAGTCCATCTGTACAGGCTCCTTACCTTGCTCGGAAGAGCCTCTGGGCTTGGAGACCAGGGTGATAGTTGAAGATGAAACTGACAGTCCCTTCTGCGTCTGAGCATTGTCATCCGGAGTTGCAGTCTCCCACCTGACATTGGGATCCATCGTATAACAATAAGGGGCAGCCACAGGATCTGGATTCCTGCATTAGTTCTGATCAAGTCACTGAAGATTCAAAATGATACATGTCACAAAGGGTGGGACACTATGCACAGAGCACCCACACCCTCTCCTTTGTGGAACAAGGTCATTCCTTGTGCCTTTCTAATATACCCATTAAAAGTACCATAAGATTTTCCACAAGCACAAATGGCTCTCAATCATAGTCTCTGCATTTCTCATACTTAATAGGTTATTACGATTCTTTTAAATCTAGCCTAGCAAACGCTTCTCAGAGACACTGACATAATACACACACGTGGCCAAAAAGTGATCAGACTATTCTCCTTCTGCCTTCTGCCCAATCCATCTCTCTGGAATAACTGGTATGGATTTTGACGTCTGTATTGTGCCATTGTTTATTCACATACAAGAGTATCTATATCTCTTGTCTAGTTCTCAGTATCTCTCTTGGTAGAGACTTCACATTCTAATGTAGAATTTTAGCCAACACGTAGTTCTTCAGAGAAAACATGGCATCCAGAAGGATAGCCTTTCCAGATCCAACCTTCACACTATGTACCCAAAACGTACTGAAAAGGCTCTATGTTTTTCACATGGGGAAATGCACTGTGCGAATACTATTACTGTCTGTCATTCCCATATCACATGGGTCAAGTAGGTTTATTTTTTGCACACAACTTCTCAAAGCTGCCCTGGAAAATTTGCTCCCAGGCAGGATGCAGTATCTCTAGAATGGGTTCCTGGGCAGGACCTTCTCTCTTGCTCTCAATCTATCCTCTGCTGGCCACAGCCACTCTGGGACTGAGGGAAAGGGGATGAGTTGAAAGAACAGTGGGACCCATGGCATAAGGAATGTGGCAGGGTGGGCTGAGAGGAAGCTGAAGAGGTTGGACAGCGCTATGGAGGAGCAGAAAGCAATGAAGAAGGGGGCAAAGCAGGGGAGGAGTTTGGGCTGTGGGGATCTTGAAGCATTCGCGCTTCCCTATGCCTCCCAAGAAGGTTGCTCCGACCTCTCAGTATCCTCAAATTCATGACCTGCGGCTGCCTGAGAAAATGGGAAATGTATTCTGGGCCATGGGGATCCAACACTCTCTCTCTAGAGACTCTACAGTTGTGACCTAGTCTCAACCCCAGACCCTCCATTCCAGGAAGCTGGTTCAATCAGCAACTGGATGTATAAAAACTCGAACTCTTGAAAGACTTCCTTTCCTTCCTTGGCGTCCCTCTTTGGAATGCATGGAATATTCTTATACCATAAACCTCAGAGTTCAAAACTGTGTGATTGTTCTAGGATTCGCAATATCCCTTTGAACCCACACAGTAACCTTTTATTAATATTACATACCATCGTGCATGGAGTAAAAACCCCACAATGTGGTCACTTCCAATTATTAGTGGTATGATTTATGCTACATGTTCAAATTGTTATCTCTACATATGCTAAAGTTAAACATATTTCTATCATTCTGCTTCAAGTGGTCAACTCTCACAAAAAGATAGAAATTTGATCAAGAAAATATTTTGCATTTACATCTTTCTGCATTTGCCAGTTGCTGGTATCTACATTACGTGTTCACAGAAAGTTCCTTCTTCTTCTATTCTTCTCTACCTAATACCTTTGGTCCACCACCCTTGTCCATAAGCCTGCTGATTCCAAAGAGTCTGGCAGTTTCCGCTTTCTTTGTTTGTGGCAGTGCACAATATCATTTTCAACACGAATCATCTTCAAGGCATTTTATTATATACTGAATTCAAATGCTGAATTGAACTCTTACAAGTCAGATTATCATTTTAATAATATTCCCTGATGTGTGGCTTCCAGTGTTTCTGAGGTGAACCCATTAGCAGTTTGTGTCCTCTTAGCTACAGAGACTGACCCTTTTCTTTGCAGTTTCTCCTGAGATGTTTCTTCGTATTATGCCTTTGCCTTGTTACCTTCAGACTGTGGGTACAGAAATTACACACACACACACAGCACAGGATTTTTGGGTTTTTTTCTTCCGATTTCCCCTAGTGTTCCATAGAGTTTCATGAAACTGTGATATTTCAATGTTCCTCATAACTGAACAGTTATCAACCATTCATGATTCAGTACTTGCTTCTACTCCAAACTCCCTTGCTCTTTTCTGTGACTTCCTTCCCACATGCAGAAAATCTTTTCATATTTTCCTACATGTCTGTGAGGCTTTGTTGATTTCGTATTTCACTATTTCTTCAGGGGTGTCCTTGTGTGTATAGAAGAACTTGTGTTTTTTGCATGTGTCCGTGTAAGGGTGTGTTTTGAATTTGGGTTTGTGTGTGTAGCTAGTTCTGCAGGTTCTGTAGATTTCTTTTTTAGTTGTTTTTCTTCAGAAATATCTAACTTGAGCAAGAGGCCATACAGTAACAGTTTCATCTAAGACATACATTTATAATACTAGTCCTTTAATTTGATTTTGCTATTCTATACTGTTAATTTCTCTTGATATGATATCTGGTTTGTTGCATATTCTTTTTTTAAACATTTGAAATCCGTTATCATACCGATATGTCAAATTTTCATGCAATTCTAATCATTTCTGTCATTTCTGAGCTTGCTTGTACTTCCCTGATTGCTGGTCATGGATGACCACGGCCTTTTCTACATGTAATTCAAATTTAAATTTAGGACTCACTCTGCGGATCCACCTCATACCTGAGCCAATTGGCGTTGTTGTTTACTTGTAAAGTTGAGATTTCCTCTCACAAGCAGTTCATTGACTTGGAAACCAATTTGATGCTTGGACACTGGCTGTTCAGCTATACAGCGGTGGTCTGCAGCTGCCTGATTTCTGAGAATATACTAATTCCACTTTTAAATCAAGGCTGTTCTGGCATCTCCACTGAACTGGCAACGTGTTCTGTGAGGAATCTCTAGTCTAGCTGGTAAGAACTCCCGATCTCCAGAGTGCTATGCTTAGGCTCCGTCTTCCTTATAGAGCTTGCTGTTCTCTTGCAATTGCTGTTTCTCAGTAAATGTTCCTTGCCATACTTTCTTGTGGAACCATTTTCTGTGCAAATGCAGCGTCATGTCAGGCCAACAAATGGAGGGAGACTTCTGTGTGTTGCAGGAAGCTCCTTTCCTCCACAAACCAGGTCTTATTAGTATGAACCTAGAAAATGTTAGCTACCACAGTCATCCCCAAACTCCAATCCCTCTCCTCCCTTCAGCAAGATGGCTAGAGTCTCCTTGCGTATCATCACCTTTAGTCAGTGCAACAAGAGTATCAGGAAGAAAACCAAAGGGCATCTTTGCAGTTGAGCTCATCATTACCCCTCTCTTAATTCTCTAGGTCCTCTAACATCTCTTGTCCCACATGGAGAAACCATTTTTCCCTGTCTTTGGCAGTCACTTGTAGCCAAAATTGGCTATGGGCTACTCCAGACCCACCTTCTGTCCATCTACCTGTCCCTTTTATTTTTCAGCATCAAATCTCTTTCCTCACTCTCCATCTGCCTTCTGTCAAAATATTCTCTTGCCACCAACCTGTATCCCTTCAGGCCACTGGCACTTAGGGCCGAGTGATTCCCTCCCCGTTGGAATACACATAGATATGAAAAGAGATACATTTGCCTGTCATACACTTAAGCACATATTCTTTCCTCATTGGCCCAGACCAGAAAAATTAAAACCTTCCCTTCAGGAATGGGAAGTCAGAATAACAGAATTCCAATTGAAAAGTCTTCACTGACCCTTAGTGGGTGTTGTGGAAGGGTAATCTAAGTGTTTGGTCCTTTGCCATTCTGACTTTCTTCATAATGTAATGTCCTCGCCTCCAGATGACCACCCTTGTTCCTTAAAACTGGGAGGAAGGAGGAGGCGGCTTAACCAGTTCTCTTCTCTCGGACCCTTGGCTCCAAGGCAATCATCCTGAGACATTTACTGCATCATCTATGTCCCCAGCACAAGTTGGGTTCAGGCCACTCAGCTGGAAGCACATCTCTTAAGCTTAGTTCAACCCCTTTCTTCTCGGTAAGAACAAAGACTTACCCATTTGGGTAGTTTTCTGAGGTCGACTATGAGAGTGTGAGTCATAGATGACCAAGCTTGGCAGGTCCTTCCTGTGACAGTGGTGAAGTATGTGCCTCGTGCTCTGTCCATTACCATGGTAGCACTCCTGCACCCCAGGCCTTTACTTGGTCAATTGCACAGAAAGGAAAACAGAAGAAATCTACCTTTGCTCGGTCGGTGCTGAAAGGAAAACAGAAGAAATCAAGCTGAATATCTCTTAGAACAGAGATACATGTGATACCATGCATGACACAACCAGGAAGGAGTCTATGAGAATTGCGACCATACTCTTTTCCTTATCCGTAGGCCGAGGAATGTGAGAAAACCTACCAACAAACCAACACCAAAGCAACAGACTCCTACCATTCTAGAACCGTAGTCAGTTCTTGAAAATATTTCACCTGCAACCTTAGGGAAACAGAACAGATCAGACTGCTCCTCATTGGAAAGTGCGCTCACGAGCAAGCACCTTTCTGGGAAACTCTACTGAATGTTCATGAGGAGGATGGGGCAAGATCGAGCAAAATGCACTGCACTTGGCAATGCGGGCTGCAGGTGGTAATCGGCTGTCGGGGACAGAGGTGGGGACAGACATGTTTCCCTAGACCGTTGTTCATGAAAGCCAAGGACTTTAGCTTCTGGGCCATGGGGCAGAAACCAGTCCACTATATCTGACTTAAGGCAACGACAATTTGCTTCTCAGGGATGTGTGCAGGCCAAAAGCTTATTCCTTTGGAAGAGAGAGGGAATCCTCTCGTGCCCCGCACCCTTAATTGCAATAAAGGAGCAGCCTACTACTCGTTCTCTCCAGACCCCTCCCAGGCACAAGTGCCATCAGAAAGAGGTTTAAGAACACGGAGATATCACTCCCTTCAAAGCCTAGGACTGTAGAGCCTTAGAGCATGGTGAGCTCCTGGACTGCTCCACAGACCCAGGGCGATATGGAATTAAGGAAGCCCTGTTAGGTTTCTCCAGAGTGAAGGGCTCCAGAGTCATATTTCTCGGAATCTGCAAAGCTGAAGATTGCACCCAATGCTGTCTACTTGAAGAAATCCCTGGAAATGCTTCCTGGCTTGGAAAGAGTCACACACCTCAGAGCATGTCACAATAAAAATGTTGGCTAAGACACTGAGATAGTCCGTTTTAAACGAGGTGACTTGTGCAGGCAATCACCCTGGAGGGTTTGGGCCCATCCTAAAGACACAGTCCACCCACGTTGTACCAGAAATCACTCCTCTGACTCCCGCAGAGAGTGCACGCAGGCTTCCTCCTACATGGCAGAACTCAGTCAACACTCAAGCATCCGTGGACCATTGAACGCTGCCGCACCACTGGGAATTTCCATGGCTTTTCATCCCAGTGTCTAAGCGTGTAGGTGTCTGGCCACAGGCTCCTTACCTTGTTCGGAAGGAGCCTCTAGGCTTGGAACCGGGGTGACATTTGGAGGTGCGATGGCAGTCCCTTCTGCATCTGAGCATTGTGTCAGGTTGCAGTATTCCCACCTGACATTGGGATCCATCGTATAACAATAAGGGGCTGCCACAGGATCTGGATTCCTGCAGTAGTTCCTGATCAAGCCACTGGAAATTCCAAAACCATACATGTCACAAGAGGTGGGACACTATGCAGGGGCACCCCACACCCGCTCCTTTGTGCTGCAACAAGGATGTTCCTGGTGCCTTTCAAATATACCCATTAAAAATACCATATGGTTACCACAAGCACGAATGGCTCTCAATCACTAATCCTCTCTGCACATTTCTCATACTTAATAGATTATACTATTTTTGTAAATCTAAAGGAGCAAACACTTCCTAGAGACACTGAGATAACGCATACATGTGGCCAAAACATGATCAGACTATTCTCCTTCTACCTGCTGCCCAATCCATCTCTCTGGAATAACTGGTATGCGTTTTGACGCCTGTATTGTGCCATTGTTGATTCACACACAAAAGTATCTGTATCTGTCTAGTTCTGCCTATCTCTCTCGGTAGGGCTTCATATTCTAAAGTGGGAGTTGCAACTAACATGTAGTTCTTCTGAGAAAACATGGCATCCAGAAGGACAGCCTTTCCAGGCTAACCTTCACATACTATGTACTCAAAACATAATGAAAAGGCTCTACGTTTCACATGGAAACGCATTGTGCAAATACTATTACTGTCTGTCATTCTCATATCACATGGGTCACGTGGATTTCTTTCTGCACGACTTCTCAAAGCTGCCCTGAAAAATTTTCTCCAGGTCAGAATGCAGTATCTCAAGAATGGGTTCCTGGGCAGGACCTTCTCTCTTGCTCTCAATCTGTCCTCTGCTGGCCGCAGCCACTCCGGGACTGAGGGAAAGCGAATGAGTTGAAAGAACAGTGGGACCCATGGCATCAAGGAAGACGGCAGGGTAGACTAAGAGATCTGAAGAGGTTGGACAGCTACGGAGGAGCAGAAAGCAATGAAGAAGGGGGCAAAGCAGGGGAGGAGTTTGGGCTGCAGGGATCTTGAAGCATTCGCTCTTCCTTATGCCTCCCAACAACGTTGCTCCAACCTCTCACATTCATGACCTGTGGCTGCCTGAGAAAATGGGAAATATATTCCGGGCCATGGAGATCCAACACACTCTCTCTAGAGACTCTACAATTGTGACCTAGTCTCAACCTCAGACCCTCCATTCCAGGAAGCTGGTTTAATCCGTATCTGGATGTATAAGAGCCCGAGCTCTTGAAAAACTTCTTTTTCTTCCATGGCTTCCCGCTTTGGAATGCGTGGAATATTCTTATTATAACATAAACCTCAGAGGTCAAAATTTTGTGATTGCTCTAGGATTTGCAATATCCCTTTGAACCCACACAGTAACCTTTTATGAATATTACATACCATCGTGCATGAGATAAGACACAGTGGTACACTTCCAATTGTTACCTGTATGATTTATGCTACCTGTTCAAACTGTTACCTCTACATATGCTAAACTTAAACATAGTGCTATCATTCTGCTTCAAGCAGTCAACTCTCATTCAAAAAGACATAGAAATTTGATCAAGAAAATATTTTGCATTTACATCTATCTGCATTTGCGAATTGCTGGATTCTACATTACGTGGGCTGCAGAAAGTTCCCTTCTTCTATTCTTCTTCTATGTAATTCCTTTGGGTCACGTCTCTTGTTACATAAGGCTGCTCATTCCAAAGTCTGGCAGTTTCTGGTTTCTCTGTTTGGGGCAGTGCACAATATGCACATGTCCAACATTGATCGTCATCAAGGCATTTTATTGCTGGATGCAGCATTCTCGGTTGATCCCTTCTGGGTCCAGATTATCATTTTAATAATATTCCCTGGTATCCCGCTTCCAGTGTTTCTGAGGTGAACGCATTAGCAATTTGTATCACTGTACTTCTAGGAAGACACAGCTCTTTTTCCTCCACTTTCTCTTGAGATGTTTCTTCGTATTATACCTTTGTCTTGTTACCTTCGAACTGTAGTGTACAGAAGTACAACACACATGGTTTTTTCTGTTTGTTTGTTTCTGAAATTTCCCATGTGATCCCTAGAGTTTCGTGAAACTGTAATTTTGTCAACGTTCTTCATAATTGAAAAGTTATCAACCATCCTTGATTCCGGTACTTGCTTCGACTCCAAACTGCTTTGCTCTTTTCTGTGACTTGCTTCCCACATGCAGGGAATCTTTTCATATTTTCCTACATGTCTGTGAGGCTCGGTTGATTTCGTGTTTCACTATTTCTTCAGGGGTGTCCTTGTGTTTGAGAGAACTTGTGAGATTTTGCGTGTGTCCGTGTACGGGTGTGTTTTCAATTTGGGTGTGTGTGTGTAAGTAGTTCTGTAGGTTCTGTAGAATTGCTTTTTGGTTAATTTTTTCTTCTGAAATGTCTAACTTGATCAGGTGGCCATACAGTAATTTTTTCATTTAAGACATACTGTTTTTATGTTAGTTCTTTAATTTGATTTGGCTATTCTATACTGTTAATTTCTCTTGATATGCTATTTGGTTTGTTTCATATTCATTTTTTTAAATATTTGAAATCGGTTGTCACAATGATATGTCAAATTTTCATGTAATTCTAGTCATTTCTGTCATTTCTGAGCTTGTTTGTATTGCCTGATTTTTCTCCTGGTTATGGATCACATGAAATGCTTTCCTCCATGTAGTCAAAGTTTAAATTTAGGACTCACTCTTGGGATACCTCAGAGCTGAGCCAATTGACTTTCTTGTTTACTTGTAAAGAGACTTCAGATTTCCTCTCACTGGCAGTTCATTGACTTGGAAACCGATTTGATGCTTGGACACTCGCTTTTCAGCTATGAAAGGGGTGGGGTTCTCTGCAGCTGCCTGTACTCTCGGAATATATTAATACCACTTTAAAATTATGACTGTTCTGGGGTCTCGACGGAATTGGCAACATGTTCTGTGAGGACTCTCCTGTCTAGCTGGCAGAAACTCTGGTCTCCCACAGTGCTATGTGATCTCTGTCTTCTTTATTGAGCCTGCTGTTCTCATGTAGTTGCTGTTTCTCAGTAAATGTTCTTTGCCATACTTTCTTGTGGAACCATTTTCTGTGCACATGCAGCGTCATGTCAGGCCAACAACTGGAGGAGACTTCTTCGCCTGTTTGTAGAGCTCCTTTCCTCCACAAACCAGGTATTATTTCTGGCAGACCTAGAAAGTTTTAGCTACCGGAATCATCCCAAACTCCAATCCCTCCCCTACCTTCAGCAAGATGGCTACAGTCTCCTTGGGCTCTATCTCCTTGCTAGTCAGTGCAGGAAGGGTATCCAGGAAGAAAGCCAAGGCATCTATGGAGTTGAGCTCATCATTGCCCCTCTCTCAATTCTCTAGGTCCTCTACCATCTCTTGTACCACCTGTAGAAACCATTTCTCCATGTCTTTCATAGTCGCTTGTGGCCAAAAAGTTGGACCTGGGGTGCTCAGACCCAGGATTCTGTCCATCTCCCCATCCCTTTTGCTTTCCAGAATCCGTCTCTTTGCTCACTCTCATCTGCCTTCCTGCCTTGGCTCTTCTCCTGCTGCGAACCCGTATCCCTTCAGGCCACTGGTACTTAAGGCCGAGTGTTTCCCTCCCCATTGGAGTTTACATAGACATAGAAAGAGATACATTTAGCTGTCCATAAATAAGCACCTATCTTTCCTCATGAGCCCAGACAGAAGGCTTGCACACACAGCTTCCACTTCAGAATGGGAGTCAAAATAACATTATTCAATTGGAAAGTCTTCATTGACCTTCATTGGGTGTTATTTGTGGAGAATCTAAGTGTTTGGTTGTTTGCCATTCTGACTTTCTTCATAATGTGATGTCCTCGCCTCCAGATGACCCTTCTGCTCCACAAACTAGGAGGAAGAAGAGGCAGCTTAACAGTTCTCTTCTTCTCTCAGACCTTAGCTCCAAGGCAATCGTCACCGAGGACGTGACGCTGCGCCAGCTCCGTCGACACAGGTTGAGGTGCGGACAGCTCGGCAGGAGCACGTCTCTTCTAACAGGGAAACTGGTTGACCCCGCTTTCTTCTCTTGCAGTAAGAACAAAGGCTACCCATTTGGGCTGTTTACTGGGAGCCGACTATGAGAGTGCGGTGTCATGAGATGACCAAGCTTGGCAGGTTCATGACGTGGTGAAGTATGTGTGCCTCGATAACTCTCTGCTCCATTACCGTGGTAGCACTCCTGCACCCCAGGCTTTTGCTCAGTCGGTGCTGAAAGGAAAAAAGAAGAAATCAAGCTGAGCATCTCTGCGAACAGAGATACATGTGAAGCTGATGGCTAACCAGGAAGGTATCTATGAAATTCTACGACCGTACTCTTTTCTTATCCGTAGGCAGGGATGTGAAGAAAACCGAACAACAATCTCTGAGAACAGAGATACATGTGAAGGCACTGATGACACAACCAGGAAGGTATCTATGAGAATTACGACCGTACTCTTTTCCCTATCCGTAGGCCGAGGGATGTGAGAAAACCGAACAACAAACCAACACCAAAGCAACAGATTCCTACCATTCTAGAACCATAGTAAGTTCTTGGAAATATTTCACCTGCAACCTTAGAGAAACAGAACAGATCAGACTGCTCTCCTCATTGGAAAGTGCGCTCACCAGCAAGCAACCTTCTGGGAAACTCTACTGAATGTTCATGAAGAAGATGGGGCAGGATCGAGCAAAGGGCATTGCATTTGGCAATGTGGGCTGCAGGTGGTAATCGACTGTTGAGAACAGAGGTGGACACAGACATGTTTCCCCAGACCGTTGTTCATGAAAGCCAAGGCCTTTGGCTTCCGGGCCATGGGGCAG